TGTTTCATTAACTATAGGTTACATAGGTAAGGGTTATTTGTGACAAATATTCCAGATGTTTCATTAACTATAGGTTACATACATAAGGGTAATTTGTGACAAATATACCACATGTTTCATTAACTATAGGTTACATAGGTAAGAGTAATTTGTGATAAATATTCCAGATGTTTCATTAACTATAGGGTACATAGGTAAGAGTAATTTGTGACTAATATTCCAGATGTTTCATTAACTATAGGTTACATAGGTAAGGGTAATTTGTGACAAATATACCACATGTTTCATTAACTATAGGTTACATAGGTAAGAGTAATTTGTGATAAATATTCCAGATGTTTCATTAACTATAGGTTACATAGGTAAGAGTAATTTGTGACTAATATTCCAGATGTTTCATTAACTATAGGTTACATAGGTAAGGGTAATTTGTGACTAATATTCCAGATGTTTCATTAACTATAGGTTACATAGGTAAGGGTAATATGTGACTAATATTCCAGATGTTTCATTAACTATAGGTTACATAGGTAAGGGTAATTTGTGACAAATATTCCAGATGTTTCATTAACTATAGGTTACATAGGTAAGGGTAATTTGTGACTAATATTCCAGATGTTTCATTAACTATAGGTTACATAGGTAAGGGTTATTTGTGACAAATATTCCAGATGTTTCATTAACTATAGGCTACATAGGTAAGGGTAATTTGTGACAAATATTCCAGATGTTTCATTAACTATAGGTTACATAGGTAAGGGTAATCTGTGACAAATATGCGAGTTTGTTCATGACCGAACAACCTGTCCCCCCTACACATAATAGTCTCGCCCATGTAGTATTCCCGAGAATTTAATTGGCCTCAGCTTGTCTAGAAAACGATTTGACATGTTGCGTGACATACATAAAGAGTGACAGCCATGTGGATAGAGACAGATAAATGTCAGATCGGGACTGAGGAGGTTTGTAGAGTGAGTGAGTATGGTTTTACGCCGCGTTTAGCAATATTCCAGCAATATCAGGGCGAGACACCAGAAATGGGCTTCACATATTGTACCTATTTGGGGAGTCGAACCCAAGACTTCAGCTTGACGAGCAAACGCTTTGACCACTAGGCTACTCCACCTCCCGGAAGATTTGTAGAAACGATTGGGTATATATTGGAAATGAGGGATTCGGTTTGTGAGTCATATCATGCAGTTAGGGATGTATTGGGTAAAGCTGTGGAGGTGGAGGGTAGAGTAGTGAGTCAATGATAGAAGTTAGGGGTGTACAGGGTAAAGCTAATTGGCGGAGGGTAGAGTTGTGAGTCAATGATAGAAGTTAGGGGTGTATGGGGTAATGCTATGGAGGTGGGGGTGGAGTTGTGAGTCAATGATAGACGTTAGGGGTGTACAGGGTAAAGCTAATTGGCGGAGGGTAGAGTTGTGAGTCAATGATAGAAGTTAGGGGTGTATGGGGTAATGTTATGGAGGTAGGGGGTAGAGTTGTGAGTCAATGATAGAAGTTAGGGATGTACAGGGTAAAGCTAATTGGCGGAGGGTAGAGTTGTGAGTCAATGATAGAAATTAGGGGTGTATGGGGTAATATTATGGAGGTGGGGGGTAGAGTTGTGAGTCAATGATAGAAGTTAGGGGTGTACAGGGTAAAGCTAACTGGTGGAGGGTAGAGTTGTGAGTCAATGATAGAAGTTAGGGGTGTACAGGGTAAAGCTATGTAGGTGGAGGGTGGAGTTGTGAGTCAATGATAGAAGTTAGGGGCATATGAGGCAAAGCTATGTAGGTGGAGGGTAGAGTTGTGAGTCAATGATAGAAGTTAGGGGTGTATGGGGTAAAGCTATGGAGGTGGAGGGTAGAGTTATGAGTCAATGATAGAACGTAGAGGTGTATGGGGTAAAGCTATGGAGGTGGAGGGTAGAGTTATGAGTCAATGATAGAGCTTAGAGGTGTATGGTGTAAAGCTATCGAAGTGGGGGTAGAGTTGTGAGTCAATGATAGAATTAAGGGGTGTATGGCGTAAAGGTATTGAAGTGGGGGTAGAGTTGTGAGTCAATGATAGGGGTGTATGGGGTAAAGCTATGGAGGTGGAGGGTAGAGTAGTGAGTCAATTATAGAAGTTAGGGGTGTATGGGGTAAAGCTATGGAGGTGGGGGTAAAGTTGTGAGTTAATGATAAAAGTTAGGGGTGTATGGGGTAAAGCTATAGAGGTGGAGGGTAGAGTTATGAGTCAATGATAGAACTTAAAGGTGTATGGTGTAAAGCTATGGAGGTGGGGGTAGAGTTGTGAGTCAATGATAGAAGTTAGGGGTGTACAGGGTAAAGCTATGTAGGTGGAGGGTGGAGTTGTGAGTCAATGATAGAAGTTAGGGGTGTATGAGGCAAAGCTATGTAGGTGGAGGGTAGAGTTGTGAGTCAATGATAGAAGTTAGGGGTGTATGGGGTAATGCTATGGAGGTGGAGGGTAGAGTTATAAGTCAATGATAGAACTTAGAGGTGTATGGTGTAAAGCTATGGAGGTGGAGGGTAGAGTTATGAGTCAATGATAGAGCTTAGAGGTGTATGGTGTAAAGCTATCGAAGTGGGGGGTAGAGTTGTGAGTCAATGATAGAATTTAGGGGTGTATGGCGTAAAAGGTATTGAAGTGGGGGGGTAGAGTTGTGAGTCAATGATAGGGGTGTATGGGGTAAAGCTATGGAGGTGGAGGGTAGAGTAGTGAGTCAATTATAGAAGTTAGGGGTGTATGGGGTAAAGCTATGGAGGTGGGGGTAAAGTTGTGAGTTAATGATAAAAGTTAGGGGTGTATGGGGTAAAGCTATAGAGGTGGAGGGTAGAGTTATGAGTCAATGATAGAACTTAAAGGTGTATGGTGTAAAGCTATGGAGGTGGGGGTAGAGTTGTGAGTCAATGATAGAAGTTAGGGGTGTATGGGGTAAAGCTATGGAGGAGGAGGGTAGAGTTGTGAGTCAATGATATAATGTAAGGGTGTACGGGGTAAAGCTATGTAGGTGGGGGTAGAGTAGTGAGTCAATGATAGAACTTACAGGTGTATGGGGGTAAAGCTATGTAGGTGGTGGTAGAGTAGAGGTCAATGATAGAAGTTAGGGGTGTATGGGGGTAAAGCTATGTAGGTGGAAGGTAGAGTTGTGAGTCAATGATAGAAGTTAGGGGTGTACGGGGTAAAGGTATGTAAGTGGAAGGTAGAGTTGTGAGTCAATGATATAAGTTAGGGGTGTACGGTGTAAAGTTATGTAGGTGGAAGGTAGAGTTGTGAGTCAATGATAGAATTTAGGGGTGTATGGTGTAAAGCTATGGAGGTGGGGGTAGAGTTGTGAGTCAATGATAGAATTTAGGGGTGTATGAGGTAAAGCTATAGAAGTGAGGGTAGAGTTGTGAGTCAATGATAGAAATTACACATGTCTTTAAAGATGGATTTAGCGATGACGGGCTCGACTCACTACTTGCGTAAATCCCAGCAATAGGTGTTTATACATACAAAAGTACTTCGAAAGCATGGAAACAAATATTCATTCGAACAAGATCAAACCATCGTCTGCTTTCCGAATAAAAATTCAGCAAGAGAAATACGTTTATGTTCATTCTATGTTATGTCAAAATAGATTAAGCAATAGACTGCTACATAATTTCCGTATTAAATTCATTATCAGCTTTCGTCAACGATATCGCCACTGAGCTGATCCGGCATTAACATCGACCGCCGAAGAAATGTTAATGCCTTCCGTCCACATAAATAAACAGTTGGGTTATCAATTCAAACAAAATGATATATTTTTAGAAATTTGTACGGTTTCAGATTTATCGGTAGTAAAACACAATTTTATTACAGAATCTGCAAACCGTTCTGTTTAGCCCAACATATTTTTTTTTCTAAAAAGTATAATATCGTTGAAAAAGTTATTTAGCTTAGTAATGATCCCTCTTATCAATTACACTGCTTGATCTAAAGTAGTCTATTAAAGTATAATTAATTACCTTACCGTGTTTATGCCAGAGGTACACCCTCATGTCCTGTTCCATCCTTTCGGAAACATCACCACAAATCTGGCTCTTTGTCAACAGCCTCGCGAACTTGCCAGCGAATCCGACTCAATTTTAATCCACTACACTTTGAAGCCACTAGGTCACAAAACACTTTCCAAAATGTAGAAAATAATATCCGTAGAATCGAATTTGAGCATAAAGTACACACATGAGTGTGTAAGAGTCACCACCACAGTGACTCTTCTGTCACACGGAGACGTAGAGGTGCGTGAAATCGTCAAGTTGACAGGGCGCAAAATTCAACAGTATCTAAATTCGGTACAACACGGACTTCTCATTACAGCAAAAGCGCCTCTACTCTTAAATTTTGTACCAGTACCAATAATTAGATATAAAAAAACTATCTCAGTCATACAATCAGGTTAACCTTGCGCAAACTGTCAGAGGCCCTCCTGTCGCATCTCTTCAAATTTGCACGTAAATGTAAACACTGACTTCCATAAAGGTCAAGGCCATGAGGTTGCTGCCATTATTCTGGTGGGGAAAGGGTCTACGGTGGAATTTTCAAATGTGAACCAAGCTTTTTAAACTTATTTCATATATGTTTTCCAACTTATCAGTTAATGATTGGTGATAATTGCATTGAAAAAACAAAACGTGATTTGTTATTACTGAATCTGGAGTTTGTGAGTCATTGACGGTTGGCCACTAATCATCCCGTTTGAGGTGATGCCACTTGAGATTGGAATGCGACGCCGCTTCACGTATTGACTCGTCACCAACGAAAGAGTTCCAACTGAAATTGTTCATAAAATTGTCATGGTAGAATGGAGATAAACCTACTGTGTAGGAAAATCAGAGGTATATAACGAAATTATAATAGCTCTAAATTTTTCATTAGGAGATAAACCTACCTAATTTAAAGATTTTAAATTAAACTAAGAGCTATTATAATTTCGTTATATACCTCTGATTTTCCTACACAGTAGGTTTATCTCCTAATTCAGCTTGCTTTGGGAATAACGACTAACCTGTTTGGTGCGACAAGCTTGTATACAGCTGTTTCACATCGACCGACCGCCATTGCGGGTTCAATAATTACACATGAAGCAGGCACAAGGTGCACAGACGCCACATTGCATGGAGACAGTTGATCCCACTGGTGTCAGGGCTCGGATGGATGTGGTTTAGTGCCTGTACCATACACTTTGGAATGTAACTGTTCCCCCCCCATGATATAACTGTAAGTACCGGCTATCTACTCGTTCTTACTTTAACAATGGTCGTACTCATATTCGGGTTGAAAATATGGGCAGATACAGTTTTGGGTGGGTACACACAGAATGCTAGAATACAGTTCTCATTGGATGCCGATTTCAGGAAGCACTTTCGCTCAGTCAGATATGGTAAGAAAATTCACGATTTTGGTAAACCTTATATCTAACCAGAATGAGAGCGGTGTTCTATTTATTACCCACATTTTAAATAAATTGCAGCTGATTTTGTTTTGACGTTTTCAATTCACGAACCGAAACTGGTTTAAGAAGGAGCTCGAGGTAAATGACTTCAAAACGTTTCGTGCATTATTTCACCCATTCCAATTAATGCACTCAAACATGAAATTCTTAAAGTTTCCTAGACAAAATGTTTGACAGTAGAATCTCGATAACCCGTCTGAGACTCATTCGAGATGTACAATACGGCCTAGAAGCAAAAAATAGTTTGTGACGACACTAGTTAAAATATATGTATGCGTTAAACTGAACAAACTCTATCATCCAGGTGGTTGTGACACAACTGGTGTAATATAGATGAACATATATGCAACAGCTGGGCAACATGGTTACTGTAACCCGATAGTAGTGGCGACCACGTGAACATGTAGAAACTGCCTGTCTGAGGAGGAAAGAGATGAGACGATGATATTTCACTTTCATTGAAATGGGCAGTCCCACGGGTGCCTCTGAACGGTCATGAAGGTGCGTTATCACGGCGCGAAGACTTAATTATTGCACTCTAGCATTACCTGGCTTTTCAAATCAATACATATTACTGCAAGGGATTTCAATGGTAGTACACAATAGAGTGGCGGTACGGATTTAGATTTCAACGGCAGTATGAGATGTAATGGCAATGTAATGAGACGTAATGGCAATGTAATGAGATGTAAGGGAAATGTAATGAGATGTAAGGGAAATGTAATGAGATGTAATGGCAATGTTATTAGACGTTATGGCAATCGTAATAATAATAATAATAAAAATAATAATAATAGTGTTTGAGACGGAGTGTGTGCTAGAAGTGATGACCGAGAATTGTAAGCAACTGGAATGAGTGAGTGAGTGAGTAAGTTTGGTTTTACGCCGCTTATAGCAATATTCCAGCTATATCAAGGCGGAGGACACAAGAAATGGGCTTCACATATTGTACCTATATGGGGAATCGAACCCGGATCTTCGGCGTGTGGAGCGAACGTTTCAGCAACTAGGCCAACCCACCGCTCCGAGTGATTGAGTGAGTGAGGAGTGAGTGAGTGCAGCTAATATGTTAATGGTGGAGACCTCACAGGACGTGGAGCTCCTGCCCAACTGAGATTGTTTCGAGATGAGTCAATGATATTTCACTTGTAATGGCCAGTCCTCTGCACGTTCAAGAAGGTGCGTTCCCATGGTGCGATGTGTTGTAACACATTGTTGCATGCAACAGAGTTGCAACGTCAGAACACTGTCATCATAACCTACTGTAATCTCATACACCTAGCTGCAGCAGAGGCACAACGTCAGAACACTGTCATCATTACAAACTTTAATCTCGTACACCTAGCTGCAGCAGAGGCACAACGTCAGAACACTGTCATCATAACAAACTTTAATCTCGTACACCTAGCTGCAGCAGAGGCACAACGTCAGAACCCTGTCATCATTACAAACTTTAATCTCGTACACCTAGCTGCAGCAGAGGCACAACGTCAGAACACTGTCATCATAACAAACTTTAATCTCATACACCTACCTAGCTGCAGCAGGGCACAACGTCAGAACACTGTCATCATAACAAACTTTAATCTCGTACACCTAGCTGCAGCAGAGGCACAACGTCAGAACACTGTCATCATAACAAACTTTAATCTCATACACCTAGCTGCAGCAGAGGGCACAACGTCAGAACACTGTCATCATAACAAACTTTAATCTCATACACCTAGCTGCAGCAGAGGCACAACGTCAGAACACTGTCATCATAACAAACTTTAATCTCGTACACCTAGCTGCAGCAGAGGCACAACGCCAGAACACTGTCATCCTAACAAACCTTAATCTCGTACACCTAGCTGCAGCAGAGGCACAACGTCAGAACACTGTCATCATAACAAACTTTAATCTCGTACACCTAGCTGCAGCAGAGTTGCAACGTCAGAACACTGTCATCATAACAAACACTGTCATCATAACCAACTCAATCTCATACACCTAGCTGCAACAGAGTTGCAACGTCAGAACACTGTCATCATAACCAACTTTAATCTCATACACCTAGCTGCAACAGAGTTGCAACGTCAGAACACTGTCATCATAACCAACTTTAATCTCATACACCTAGCTGCAACAGAGTCCTAAGACATTGCTGTCGACCAATCAGATTGCTTAGACATGTGTCCAGCCCAGAGTGACGATCCTTTGTTAGTGTTGAGATCATAAGGGTGACACCACTACATGAAGCTGATCTTCCCACAGAAGAAACTAATAAGTTTATAAGCTTTAATGTGCCCTAGGAATGCGAGTGTAATGTGAAAATATATTATGTCCATACAAAGAAATTCTACAACAGTCCAGCATCGTCATATTCGAGTTATACGCGCCAGTCCTGTTTCAACTGAGAATTCAGATCCGAACCCACACCGAGTTAGGCTTGCTGTAAATTATCTTCTTGAGGAATGCGATAGATAGAATAACACTTCTTTCCTTCACCGACGAATAAATGTTGCGCGTTTATGCGAATCTCTCGAGATACGAGCTGTATGCAACTTAATACCAGAAAAAGGTTCATGTTGTTACTGCAAGTCATAGGCCACGAGTTGCACCGTGAGGTGAGGTGAGGTGAAACTGGCTTTAACGTCGTGCATGAGAATATTTCGCTCATATGACGACGTGCATGCGTGTGTGTATGTGTATGTGCGGCTGCTTGTACTAAAGTACTGTCGGAAATGCTAGAAAAATGCTTTTTAGCCTTAATATCTTTATAAAGGTGATAAATGAACTTTGTTGTCAATATATCAACTCGTCTATTGTCTACCTAATTGTTATTTCAATCGATTTAACATTCCCATGCATTTAAAGGGCAGTTTACAGGAGAGAATTTGGTAGCAAAACAGATTTTTTTAGAGTTCAACAACAGAAATCTGAAATAGTCTTTACATTTATGCTAATAATACAGGTGGTGTAAAAATATTAATTTAACGTTTTTCCTAAACAAATAAATGTTGAATGTTTGTGTTACTTTACTTAATTATCGTTTCTTTATTGAAGAAATATTAATATAAATGTTAAGTCTTGATAAATAAGTTTCCCGTCATGCATGCACATCTTTATCACAGCGTCCACTATGGCCAACGATTTGCAGTCGATTGTTGCAAAGGTTTAAAGTTTTTTTCTGCTAAAAATAAACAGAGGTAAACCTTTCATTGGTTTAGAAAGGGTTTATTACAGAACTTGTAGAGCTGTTGGCATGTCTTACCAACACGTTTACAATACAGTAAACAAATCAGACAAGACAGGGACCGTCTCAAAAGCAAAACTGGGACGTGAAACCATCCTTGACAACTTTGACAAGGGAGCACTAAGACGGGCGGTCTACAAACTTTAGGAGAAGGAGAATATATGTCTTCTAAAGAAGCTACACCAGTGACTTCGTTAAATCTTTGGCCAATGTTCACAACTAGATTAAACTGACCGAGTTACATCCATATTTTTTCAATGAAATATACTGTTGACATGCAAAACATTTATTAAAACGTTGCACATGTCTACAATCAGTCGATAAGATCACACAAGTGATAGGATTCTTTCCAATGTACAGTAATTCGTATGTTTATTTCAAAACAAACTCACATACACAAATGATCCCTTACATAACCGATACGTATACTATACGTACACATATTCAACATTTTGCAGAAAACATCTATTGAGATGACCCCTCGCACGAGCGTGTGCTCAGGTGTCAATTTCACCTGTCGATACCGTGGATGCTGATGACGTAACACAGGCAATTAATGTTTGTATCAAATAACGTCCCACTACCCCTTAATTTTCTAAGTTTTTGGTATTTTCATCAGTAAAAACACATTTTAGAGCATGTCTCAAAACTTATTCCCTCGGTCTACATTAGGTAGATGTTTCTTGAAGTGATATTTCTTATTTAAGTAACTGTAATACCTCTGAATTTTAAATATAAGTCAAAAAGCATTTTTCTAGCATTTCCGACAGTACTTTAGTCCAGACTGAAGCTGGTTTTATAGTTTTCGCTCCCTGAGATACCATGCCGCAGTGAAGCATGAATACCCAACTCAGATGCAGTATTCTGACTCCGAGCCGACAATTCCTTGTTACACGGTAACCCATTAATGCTGAGCGCCAGGCAGGGACCAACAAGTACCATATTTTAGCGTCTTTTTGGTATGACGCGGTCGGGGATCAAACCCTCGACCTTCCGCTCTCCGGGCGGAGGCTCTAACCACTACGCCACGGAGGCGGTTTTTCACCGTGAGAAAGCACTTGAAAAGCAGCATGGCTGACTACGATATTGGTTGTATTAGAGAATAGTTACCGAAGCTTGGGGAAGACGTGACTGGATAAGAAGACTGCTTCTCCATCTCACAATCGGGGTGGTGAGGTAGCCTAGAGGTTAAAACGTTCGCTCGTCACGCTGAAGACCAGGGTTCGATTCCCCACACGGATACTACGTTCAAAGCCCATTTCTGGTGTAGGGTCGGTGGGGTAGGCCAGTGGATAAAGCGCCCGCTCGTCACAGCGATGACCCTGGTTCGACTCCCCACATGGGTAAAATGTGTGAAGCCCATTCCTGGTGCCCCCCTCGGTGATATTGCGTAAAACCAAACTGGTGATATAACATTTCTGGTGTATCTGAACTGCCACTGAAATTTGTACTGTCACCCTCTTGTATACTGCCAATGTAACTGTACTGCCACTATTAGTTGATTCTACAATACACTTATTAATCTATATTATCTGTTTTCTGTGTGTTGGTTTCACATTGAAGTCTTTTGAGCATAAATAGTAGGGCTAAGTTGTAGTTGGAAATTGAACATTATAATGTTTCCAGGTGATGTAGTAAATCTGCCCTGTACTAATCGCCCTGAATCAGCTTACGTTGTTTTATAGGCAGTGTTAAATTACCCGTGAATGGAATGTACTTTAAACTAACTTTGTGAATGTCTTTACTTAATTTTATGCAAATTATTAATTGCGGCTGCAACAGGGAGAGCTCAGTATGTTTACCCTTTTCTCGAAACACTGATTTTTAAACAATTCTGATCACCGTGTTTTCATTTATGCACAAGGAAATATGGTTCCAAAAGGGAGGTAACCGAGGCCAAATGTTTCTTTGGAGTTGACGATCTACATTATCTTGAATATTTCCATATGTTCTTCAGTTAATGTATATTTAACGTGTATGTATTTAATAACATATTTATAAATATCAGTTCTGTAAAATATTAATGGAAATGGGATTAGTTGGTAGCATTATCGTCTTATGACTCTTTAACGGAAACGTTACTTGACCAGCTTAACGCTGTCCTGGGGCTGGTATTGCTTAAAATGGTTCCATATTGGACATGACGAGTCATTTCAGCATAATCCAAATCATTCCCTATTTGAACTTTGCTTCGTGTTCAATAGTTTTTTAAGCTGACCACGTGACTGCCTTCTACAGAAAATGAACTCTCTTGTTTTATCTTAAGCGAAGTACGTCGTGTGGGGCTACATGTTGGCTGTCGTCCTTGTATATAAGTAAACTACAATATTGTAACATGCAATAGTTTCCTTGTCCTTCTGCATATACTAGTTAGTTGCATTTTCTAGCCAGTGACAGTTAGGTTCTAGGTGCAGTTATACTGAGTGTGTTCATGTATTTTGAATAACCGTGGATATATGCACGTAGTTATTCTGAGCGAGCCCTCATTCTCTCTTATGTATTGATTAGCTCGTGTCAGCCTAACCTTTGCCGTGTGTTCATGTTTAGTGAATATTGAGAGCTATATTGATTTCCTTACAATAAGCCGCATATCTGCTAACGTATATCTGTAGAATATTCAGTTAGTGTCCCATCGATTGACTGCATGTTTTGTTTGACTCGTTTATTTTGGTGCCATTGTCAGACAACGAACATGTATTTCGTAATGGTGGTACATGTGAACGTTGAAGCGGGAGAACTGATCTAAATGTTAAAGTATGAAACCAAAAGTATATTTAGAATAATATACATTAACTGTTGTATTAAAACATTATTTACGTTTACAAGTCTAGGCATATCAGAGCAAGATATTACAATCACACAGAGGGTGGTACAACTCAACGAGATATAATAGCTGTAGTAATAGCAATAACTATGATAAAGAGGGACTGTGTGTGCTGAATTCTGAGCATGCACTCACCCTGCCCCATATAGTGATTATCTCGTGTCAGCGTAACTTTTGTGGAGGGTAATAATGTTTAGTGTTAGTTGAATGGTAACAACTCAAAGCGGAGCGGAGAGGAATGAACTGGAAGTGAGAGGGGACGAGCGGCGTGGAGAGGAGTCGAGTGGAATTGAGCGGAGCGCTGCGGTGTGATGCATTTGGGTGCGGAGTGGAGTGGAACGGGCGTTGCGTTGCGTTGTGGTGCGTTGCGGAGAGGAGCGGAGCGGAGCGATGAGGAACGGCTTGGCGTGGCGTGACGAGCAAACGCCTTAACCACTAGGCTACCCCACAGCCCCCTGCATTATGTATTGAAACTATGAACCCAAGACACTTTCTCATTGTCAAAATATTCATTTTGAACAGTCTGGAGTTTCAGTTTCTGAAACAATTTCCTTTACAATATATATATTTTATTTATCGATAAAACTTCGCATAAATATGAGCATTGTATTCAGGCAATGTTGTACAACAATGTTTCAACTGCTATACATTGTACCAGTACTGTAGATTCAGTATCAGGGGCGGGCAGTTCCTGCTATATTTAGACTTGAAGATTTAGACCGAATGATCTGGAACGTGCTACAAGGAACTTAATGAGTATCTAGCACCTTTGTCTTGGGTATATCTGTGTGTGTGTGCGTGCGTGCGCGCGCGTGTGTGTGTGCCCGCTGTGTGTTTGTGTGTGTGTCTGTGTGTGTCTCTCTCTGTGTGTATGTGTGTGTGTCTGCGCGTGTGTGTCTGTGTGTGTGTGTGTGTCTGTCTGTCTGTCTGTCTGTCTGTCTGTGTTTTACCCGTTGCCTCTCATATCACATTACATCCCAAGGTACCAGAAGACCGGTATTGTGAGTGAGTATCATAAGACCCTGACTAAGCTTAGTAGTAAGCCGGATTACTGTTGACGATAGGTTATACGACGGACGTCCCAAAAGTAGTCGGCCTAACTATACTGTCGATGTCCAATGTTAGGAAAGCTTCCATTTTGTTTTGAAGGATTTATTAGCAAAGCCGTATCCAAAATTTCACGTATGTTTATAATGTGGTTAACGAGATATTAGTCATCACAACTCAATGAGGTATAATATTTCTTTAAAAAATTGCAGAAAGTGAAAAACGATCTGTCATTTCGTACCTGTTGGGTAATGGTATGCCCTCAGATAATATCTTATAAAATATGTACAGTATAGTATTGGATGACTTCCCGTCATAGTCAACATTCAAAGATTTGGATTACTTGATTTATATTTAGACTGTTTTTAAAGGACACCCCCATTATATGAAGGCAGATTACCATATTAGGAACCATGTGGATATAACACACCGTCCTGAGCATCCTAACTGTTTATTTCTATTTGCAGACACTACAAGATGGAGGCATCTGGAGCAATGCTGATACTCTTACAAGCCCTACTTATATTCAGTGAGTACTAAAATAGGGGAATAGGGGAAGTATGTATGTATGTATGTATGTATGTATGTATGTATGTATGTATGTATGTATGTATGTATGTATGTATGTATGTATGTATGTATGTATGTATGTATGTATGTATGTGTGTGTGTGTGTGTGTGTGCGTGCGTGCGTGCGTGCGTGCGTGCGTGCGTGCGTGCGTGCGTGCGCCGTTTTGTCAGCAACTTCGTGACCTAATGTAAATACCTAGCGCCCAAGTATAACAAGCTGTTTCTTCCTTTTCATAACGATTATAGCATCCAACAATCGATACAGGTACAATTTCCTATTTCATTTCTTGCATCAATATTTATAACCCACATCTTTGTCACGATCCAATATTTTCTTTCTGATAAGAAACACTGTTTCAATGGTTTGCTTGCGAACGTGCGAATCCATTCTATGAAACAGGCATTTAGTTGAATTTAGTTACACCATGCGAATCCTTTCTATGAAGCAGGAATTTAGTTGTATTTAGTTACACCATGCGAATCATTTCTATGCAGCAGGCATTTAATTGAATTTAGTTAGACCATGCGAATCCTTTCTATGGAGCAGGCATTTAATTGAATTTAGTTAGACCATGCGAATCCTTACTATGAAGCAGGAATTTAGTTGAATTTAGTTACACCATGCGAATCCTTTCTATGAAGCAGGCATTTAGTTGAATTTAGTTAGACCGTGCGAGTTGTGCGTGAACCCGCTTTTTGTCATCATCATATGGATGGAGTGAGAATGTAGCCTCATCATAAATATTACCTTATTGTAATGTGGTTCGACCCCGTTCGTTTCATTTTGATTTTTCAGTATTATCAGTGCACTGTCAAAACAGCTGTGACTGGGGCAAGTACGGAGACAACTGCAACAAAGACTGTCCATCCACCTGCCTTACCAACCCTGTACGAAAGCTGAAACACTGCCAGAAGGAGACAGGGAGGTGTTCTGAAGGCTGTGTTCCTGGCTGGTTTGACGATCTCTGTGACAAGGCCTGTGGCAAGAACTGCTTGAGAAACATCTGTAATCGTCAAAATGCCATCTGCACGCATGGATGTACTGGAAACTACACAGGGGAGCTTTGCAACATTAGAAAAGGTTTGACCGAAACGATTTGAATTCGTAATGGTTGATGCAGAGCTAAATGAACTCTGTATTGTATATGCATTGTGTGTAAATACATAGACCGTGTTCTTGTGCCAGTCCACCACGTGCAAAATGAGTGAGTGAGTAAGTGAGTTAATATTTAACGTCACATCGGCAATATTTCAGCCATATCGTGACGAGAACATATTTAACATTGAAATGGAAAATGTGTATACTATCAAAACCTGTCATCGAATGACAGTTAAACAACAAGAATATCACAAATACAATTAAAACTAGTGTAAAAAGTTAAAACTAATAGCACTATTAGGACAATACAAGATAAAAACAGGCCATAGATCGCCAACAACTGAAGGTAGATCACCATACTAGGATCCATGGGGACTTACTGTACCTTTGCTACCTGCATGGACCCTAGTTGGATTTACACCATCCCTTCAGCCGTTGGCGATTGTAGGAACAGTTTAGCCGAATTGTAAAGGAACAAATGTACTACGTTTAAGAATCGGGTAAGCAAAAATTTAACTCTGAAAGTTTTGGGACTTACGTACCCTCTCAGGAGGACAATAATTTTACGATACTTTAACCCCCTTCGAGGATACAGTCACTAACAATCACAGTTACTAATTTATACTTACCATCATAAAATATGGACATGCTTGACTGTGATTCTTTCATCACAAGGGATTCAAAATGGAGGATCCTCACCTTTTAATAGGTATTCTTGAGTATATCTTGTGTGGCCAATACGACATCGTCGTATGATGACCTCTTCAAATCTGGACTGACAACCCAAGTAGGTGTAACCAGTGTAGGGTTTTATTTCATGTAATTTATTGATAACGTGCAAAATGAAGCCACCGCTGATGAAAGTCATTGTTCATGTAGTTCAGTATGCAGGGTAGGTAATCGCGTAAAGGTAAAACAACAAACTGTAACATGTAAAACGGTTAAGGTGCTGAAGCCAACACAGGTAATTCTTTATAACGTATCTGTGTTGTGTTTTTGTATCTTGATACACATCCAATAGATACATTTAAGGTACTGTTATTTGAATCATATAATTCTTGTTCATCAAAAGCAGTAACAGTTGTTCCCGAGACACCGACGAAAGCACCTTCTGACTCGAACTCAACACAACCGACGAACGCATCTTCTGACTCGAACTCAACACAACCGACGAAAGCATCTTCTGACTCGAACTCAGCACAACCGACGAATCTTGCTGCGATCCTTGCCCCAGTGTTCATCGTCATCATCATCGTCACTATCATCATTGCTGTGGTGATGTTCAGACTGTAAGTACATATTCTACTAGAAGTTGTGAGTATATGAGTTTGAATTAAATGAATAAACTGACAGTTTCTGACATATGTATTGCCTGTCAGGGGCCATGCTATATTTCACATATTGGGAAACATGGTAAATGCTGTCATACAATCTCTGTGTAGATGTCCATGCATAATATATAAAACACATGCCTCAGTATTGCCACATGTACTTTTACAGAAGGAAGTGCAAAGCGATAAGAACACCTAGAGGTCAGCCGGATAAACGTGCACGGTAAGGAAATACTCTTTATTCAACATTTATGCATGTGAAAGTGCATCTTAGGAAACGTACTCTGTGAAATCTTCAGAATAACTAAAACAAAAAAGCGTAACTCATGATCAAGAGTTGTGATGCCCAAATATTTAGTGTAAAAAACTACTTATTAATACTTTGTAAGGCAAATGCATATTTTTCATTGCAGTTCTGATGAAAACAGTAAGTATACCTTATTCAAAATCATTTCGCTTGCACAAAGACGTGCCATGTAAACACACAAATAGCTGGAATGTGACAAATTATATAGCATATTGTAATCATATAGCATAACGACTGCACCTACTGTTTCGGATATAGCACAACACATATCCGCAGTATTATCTTTCAAGTCACCACTCCAGGCTGATTCGATGACTTTCGACTGATTTCTGCTTAGTGTGTGTGTAGTTTCCAAATCCTTTGCTCAGTTCTTAACACGTCTATACTCAATTCAAATTCAATTCAACTTCAAAGTCACATGTCATTCACTTCTTCAACAAAAATGCCAATACCTTCAATACAGAAGACTTGACTTCTTTTCTTCATCAGTCCTTCAATGATTGACATTAATATATATGCTGATGCAGGTCCTCAAATCCTTAATCATATAGAGCCAACACTCCAAATCCAAATCCACGCCTAACACCACTACATGGAGTCCCTCTGACCATGTACTCACATCTCTAGTCATGTGTCAACTCATAGAATTACTTCCCTTGGCCCCTGGCTGGAGCGAACTGTCCCAAAATGTAGACCAATTTAGTTTCGCACAAAAATATGTTTCAACATAAAATAATTCCAAAGCATAATTTTGGCCATAACAGTGTGGGTTTATTTTCTCATTTCCCACTTGAATTCAAGATCCTGTAGTTTCAGGATTAACAAGTCACTGTTTCTTGAACATCGTTATGCCCATAATTATTTCATTAACGTAATTTCAATTTTCTCGAGATAGATTTATAGGATTATTGTGTCATTTTTGCACAAGCTCCACGTGTTTCTTCATCTTCGTCATTATAACCATACAACTGAACCATCAACGTTTTTTTATCAATGTGCATGTCAGCTGGGACATAGAAATAATCATTTACCATAACGTATAAGTACATATTTGTTAAATATGTTTAATTTGACTGCCAAATACCATTTCAGCTTCTTTAATGGAGAAGCCGCCTGCACCAGCTCAGAACAGTAAGTTAAATGTTAATTGACCTTCCAGTATATCGATGATCTTCTGTGAGAAGAGAACATCAAAATAACATCTTGTTACTCGTTTTTGGCTTTGATTGACACGGTAACTGTCGAAGTAAATGTTTTATTCTTAAATTCTGTGTTATACTTTAACACACTTTGACATGTTCTGTAACTCCATAGTGTATATTATTTTGGCAGCTTCGTCTCAGGATGAGGAAATACAAGGCACTCTTACACTACAGACAGGTATAAATTGAATTCTCTTCTGCACTTTACTTTTGTGAGACAGAAGTATTTGTTGGTATACAACTTGCAAATATTCACATCTTCTGTATTCCAGAGTTTGATATTTACAATGGTTAATCAACAAATGTAATCATTCAGTGTCCTCTATTACAATCAAACTTCAGGTGTTTGTATTTATTTGAACAGATTTGCCATACGAGCTGATGAGGGATATCACTGACATCTTCGTTGAAACCGACAGTTTCAAAAAGGTGAAAGAAAAACTGGAAAAGTTTGGCCACGTGACAATAAGCGGTGGTCCAGGAGCAGGTAAAACACCCGTGGCCCTGATGCTTGGAGCTGAATTCAGGAAACGGCGGTATGAAGTGGTACTGGTTGAGGACGTTGGTACTTTCCAGTTGTCTGAGTGTCTGTGTAAGAGCAAAGACGTATGTGTCATATTCGATGACGTATTTCAAAACGCTGGGCCATCTATAGACGTACATCGCCTGACACAAGTTCTCTATGAGCTCCATGGACATTGTGAACCGTGGACAAGCAAATTGGAAAGAGGATATCACAATCTGCAGCAGACGCCAGGAACCGAACATAGAAGCAACGACCATCCAAACCTGTATTTCATATTCACCACAGATACCAAAAAGTTTCAATGTGCAATGTCAAAATTTAAAGACCCTATATTTTTCCAATACTGGTCTATCGTTGACGTGACCAAACTGAAAGATGAAGAGAAAAAAGCAATATGGATGAAACACAAAAGCCATTTCAAATGTCAAACAAATGTCGACGTGAAAATGATTATTGAGTACAAAGATATAATTGGTTTTCCATTGACATGCAAACTTTTCTCTAGTCACATGCCCTTTCAAAAACTCAAAGAATCGTTTTTTGAGATGCCTGTTTACCATCTTAAACGTGAACTGGATATGATCGTTAATCAGCTGGATGACACGTCATTGAAACTCCTGTTGACATCACTATGTTGCAGCGAACAGAAACTCAAACACAGAAAATCAGAACTCCACACTAAATGTGACAACAAAGTACAAAACACGCACCTAAGGGATGTTTTAGCTCTTGTCTCATGTTCCCATCCTCTAATACAGGACATGTGTATGTCTGCCATATTGGATACTAAACCAGAGCTGTTCCTCCATAACTGTAGTTTAGCGTTCATCTGTGACCATGTACGTGATCAGCAGCATGACACCGCTCCAGCAGAACAGACTGTCATTTATTTCCCAGGTGCTCATAGTGACGTCATCACCGCCAGGCTGGCTGAAGCTGTTGCTGATGGCACGTTCAGTAACTACATCATGCATCCCATCTGGAAAAGGGGGGAAGTTGCAGACAAAGTGCAACAAATGCTTGGACATGAAGGCACTATGTCACGTGATACTAAGCACAGTATTCTCCATTATTCCTGTTTCCTGGGGAACAATGACGCAATAAAACGACTCCTCCCCAACTGTGACATCAACAGACGTGCTGTGAATGGTTGGACGCCAGCTATGTTCGCGGTTGCTGGTGGACAGATGGACAGTTTGGATCTCCTTGTGAAGCATAAAGCTGATATCACATAACTTGATGCTATGAACAATGACCTATTCCACTTGGCTTGTCAATACACAGACATTTCGGTTGTGAAAATAGTTAAAAGTTTGCTGAAAAAGAGTAAGGCTTGGCATATTAACTGCCGAGGAATGAATGACTGGACACCGATTACGTGTGCAGTTTTCTCTGGTAAGAATGATATCTTGGACTATCTTGTCCACAAAAAGAAAACTGACTTAACATTAAGAGATAGCAACAACAACACTGTTCTTCATCTGGCATGTTTGTATGGAAATGAATCCATTGTTAATTCGTTGTTACCATCAACAGACAAAGACGGTCATGGGAGAAACGGCATGACGCCTGTGATGTGTGCTCTATTGTCAGGGAGGATGGATGTGTTTAACCTTCTCGTGTCACAAAATGCAGACACGGCATTGACCGACGATGATAACAACAGTCTCCTTCATTTAGCCTGCCTCCTTGATGACATACCCAGCATCCTACTAACAAAGATTGACGCTGATACTCAAGGAAATCACGGTTGGACGCCTCTAATGAAGGCAGCTGTCAATGGATCAAAACATGCATTTGACCAGCTGGACAAAGCAAAGGCTAATCTTTACCCGAAAGACGACAACAGCAACAATATCCTTCACCTGGCATGCCATGGTGGACATGTCTCCATTGTGAAACATCTACTGACAACGTATGACATGAACAGTCGTGGGAATAAAGGATGGACGCCAGTTATGTATGCAGCTGCCAATGGCTCGAAGGACGTGTTTGACCTGCTTGTGTCTAAGGGTGCTGACTTATCCTTGAAGGATGACTACAGCAACTCTGTATTTCACTTAGCATGTGTAGGTGGGAACCTATCCATTGTGGAATATCTGCTGCCAAAATCTGACATCAATATCCGGGACAATTATGGAAGGACTGCAATTATGACAGCAGCATCTGCAGGCCAAAGTGTTGTCTTTGACGTTCTTTTGTCGAAAAAAGCTGATCTTACAATGTCTGACGAGTACAATGACACTGTCCTACATTGTGCATGTGCGGGAGGAAATCGATCCGTTGTAGAATATTTACTGGAAAGAATTGACAACAATATTAAAGGAAAGAATAGCTGGACACCAGTGATGGTTGCAGCTCGCTTTGGAAAGTTAGAGCCTTTCAACCTGCTTGCTTCAAAAGACGCCGATCTCACTCTGATTGACGATCACGGAAACAATCTGCTTCACCTCGCATGTCAGGGTGGAAACAGGTTGATCGTGGAAGATCTGCTTCCAAAATTTGACATAAACAGTCGTGGACATAAGGGCAGAACACCTTTGATGCATGCAGCTGTGAATGGACTGAGAGAAGTGTTTGACCTCCTTATGTCAAAGGGGGCTGATTTTTCACTGAAGGATGAAAACAACAATTCTGTTTTTCATTTGGCTTGTCGTGGTAGAAATATGTCCATTGTAGAAGGACTCCTACCACATTTTGATGTCAACGGTTTGGAAGATAAAGGTAGGACAGCAATAATGAAGGCCGCTTGTGCTGGAAATAAGAGTGTCTTCGACTTTCTACTTTCAAAGAACGCCGACCTGTCCATAACTGATGACTACAAAGACAATGTTCTGCATTTTGCATGTAAGGGAGGTGGGACGAAAATTGTTCAAAATATTCTTCACAGATTTGACATTAATGCTCTGGGAAGGAATGGGGTCACTCCAGTCATGCTGGCTGCTGAATTTGGAAACAGAAATATTTTTGACAAACTTGTTTCAAAGCAAGCAGATCTTACTCTCACTGACGACTACAGGAACAACATACTTCACTTTGCATATCAGGGTGGAAACAGTTTCATCGTAGATCACCTGCTTTCACTGCCATTTGATATTGGCGTCAACAACCGTGGAAGACATGGCTTGAACCCCGTAATGGTTGCAGCTCGGTTTGGAATGTTAGACCCTTTCAACTTGCTTCTTGCGAAAGAAGTGGATTTCACTGTGACTGACGACCATTGTAACAACATGCTTCACCTTGCATGCCAGGGTGGAAATTTAACAATCATCGAGCGTGTTCTTCAAGAGTTTGACATCAATAGTCGTGGACAAGATGGCAGGACACCTTTGATGTATGCAGCTGTTGGTGGACGAAAGAACGTGTATGGTCTGCTTGTGTCAAAGGGGGCTGAACTGAAGGATGATCATAGGAGCTTCAGAACAAGTGTCATTGACATGTTTACGCCCGGAAAAGCTGACCCCTTACTGACCGGTGGCCACAGGGATAACGTGCTGCATTCTGCATGTCAAGGAGGGAACACAACCATTGTAAGACATCTTCTGAAGAATATTGATATCAATGTCAAAGGACAGAACGGCCTTACACCAATAATGCATGCAGCCAGGGCTGGAAAGAAGATTGTGTTCAACCTACTTCTTTCAGAAAAGGCCAACAGGAAACTACTTGATCACTACATAAACAATGTGCTCCATTTCGCTTGCCAAGGTGGCAATAGATCCATCATAGAACAACTCCTAAACGAGTTTGACATCAACGGCCCTGGAGAGGATGGATGGACGCCAATAATGATGGCAGCTCTCAGTGGAAAGATGGATGCTTATGATCTGATTGCAACAAATGGGGGTATTCCATCTTTGACTACTCCACAGAATGACAATGTTCTTCATGCAGCTTGTCAAGGTGGAAACAAAGCCCTTGTTAAGAAGGTCATCGGCAGCTTTGGCATCAACACAAGGGGTAAGAATGGTTGCACGGCCCTGATGAGAGCTGTTGTTGGAGGCCATATGAGTGTGATGAAGTTCCTGATGTCCCGGCATGCTGACCATACTCTGGTGGACAAGGATGGACTCACTCTTCTACATCTTGCGTGCAAATTTGGTCACCTTGACATTGTGAAGCATATCTCAGACAAGTTCAATATAAATATTAAAGACAAGGCTGGTTTAACATACATCATGACATCAATATTGTATGGTAAAGTGGAAATATTTGACTACTTGAAAAGAAAAGGCGCGGATTTGTCTCTAGTTGACAACACAGGAGATGACGCCTCTAGCCTTGCGCTTAAAGTAGGCTGCAGACAAATCTTAGAAAGACTTCCACCGAAGGGAGAGTCAGAGAAGAACGTCGAACCATGGAATGAACTGATGAAGTCACTTGTAAAGAAGGAGTCATGTAATCTGCAGATGTACAGATCAAAGAGTCCTGAACTGAAACAAAAAGGCCAGACTGGAGACACATTACTCCATCTGGCCTGTCGAGGAGGCAACAGACACTGTGTGGAGTTCCTGCTCCCGTCCTATGACATCAATGTCAGAGGTCGGTACAACTGGACACCGGTGATGATGGCGGCTGCATGTGGACATACTGATATCTTCAAGCTGCTGGTGGATCACAAGTCAGATCTCTCTCTGGTCTCAGACACGGGAGAAGATCTCCTCAGTCTACTAAGAGAAGCAACAACAGTGACATTGTTGACGCAGTCAGAAACATGCACACCGTTGATGCATAGAGCAGGTAATTCTGACAATTCATTTGTGTGAACAGAATGAAAACAACAGATGTGTATTTTTCTGCCCATTATATTCTGTATGAGTATGCACTTATAGGGACATGTGCGTTATGTCATCAACATGTTTTGGTACATTAACTTTAGTGATGGAATGACACAAACTGATGCACTGTGGGTTATTGTACATTTCTCAGGACAAATTGATTCATTGTGAATGTCCACAGTAATTTAGTTTTGATATAACCAAACGAAATCAGATGAAAACATGTGTCCATCTCAGACAAGATATACTGGTGAAAACATAAACTTGAAGTTAAATATACTTAACCACGTTAATATTTAAATAAGAATTGGTTTTATCTACCTAATCTGATGCCTGTGGTAAGAGGCAACTAACGGGAGCTGATCTCTGATGTTAATCATCTGCTCATCTGATCCAGACGCAATTAAATAGATCGTCTAGCTGGAATGTCCCAAACAAACTATGATATATAATGCATGATCTAAACATTTCATAACTGTATTCATGGGTTTTTGTTCTTAAATGAAAACATGGCAACAAATTCAAAACACATCTGTTTACCACCATGTTAGCCTCGACAGTGAAACATCGCATCTGTTGCAATAAAGAAGCTGTCTGTCCATAACAAGTGTTCCTCTTCATCATACCAGATTCTAAATGACAGAAGGTATTTTCATTCAACTATCACTTACGTAGTCGTGATGTGGTAGGACTACTACTGTAGCTGAAATCGGTTATATATAAACCTATCCAGCTTGAATGGTGCTGACTCAAAATACCAGATGAATGTGAACAATGCAGATATATGATCTTAATTGAATGTGTACAATGCACATGTATGTTGCTAGGTGAATTTGTAGAATGTAGACCTATGTTGCTAGGTGAATGTGTAGAATGTAGACCTATGTTGCTAGGTGAATGTGTAGAATGTAGACCTATGTTGCTAAGTGAATGTGTACATTGTAGACCTATGTTGCCAGGTAAATGTGTAGAATGTAGACCTATGTTGCTATGTGAATGTGTGCAATGCAGACCTATGATGTTATGTGGATGTGTACAATAATGCACATGTATGTTGCTATGTGAATGTGTAGAATGCAGATATATGATCTTAATTGAATGTGTACAATGCATATGTATGTTGATATGAGAATGTGTACAATGCACAAGTTTGTTGCTATGTGAATGTGTACAAAGCAAATATATGTTGCTATGTGGATGTGTACAATGCACATGTATGTTCCTATGTGAATGTGTACAATGCAGATTTATGATCTTAATTGAAAGTGTACAATGTACATTATGTTACTATGTAAATGTGTAGAATGTACATGTATGTTGCTATGTGAATGTGTAGAATGTAGACCTCTGTTGCTATGTGAATGTGTACAATGTAGACCTATGTTGCTATGTGAATGTGTACAATGCAGACCTGTGTTGCTATATGAATGTGTAAAACGCACATGTATGTTGTTATGTGAATGTGTACAATGTACATGTATGTTGCCATGTGAATGTGTACAATGCACATGTAGGCTGACAGGTGAATGTGTACACTGCACATGTGTGTTGCCAGGTGAATGTGTACAATGCACATGTATGTTACCAGGTGAATGTGTACAATGCACATATATGTTGCCAGGTGAATGTGTACAATGCACATGTATGTTGCCAGGTGAATGTGTACAATGCACATATATGTTGCCAGGTGAATATGTACAATGCAGACCTATGTTGCTATGTGAATGTGTAGAATGCACATGAAAGTTGATATGTGAATGTGTACAATGTAGACCTATGTTGCTATGTGAATGTGTACAATGTAGACCTATGTTGCTATGTGAATGTGTACAATGTAGACCTATGTTGCTCTATGAATGTGTACATTGTAGACCTATGTTGCTATGTGAATGTGTAAAATGTAGACCTATGTTGTTATGTGAATGTGTACAATGTAGACCTATGCTGTTATGGGAATATATACAATACAGGCCTATGATGTTATGTGAAAATGTATAATGTAGACCTATGCTGTTATGTGAATATGTCCAATGCAGACCTATGATGTTATGTGAATATGTGTAATGTAGACAGATGATGTTATGTTAATATGGACAATGCAGACCTATGATGCCATGTGAATATGTATAATGTAGACCTATGATGTTATTAGAATATGTACAATGTAGACATATGATGTTATGTGAATATGTACAATGTAGACCTATGATGTTATGAGAATATGTACAATGTAGACCTATGATGTTATGTGAATATGTACAATGTAGACCTATGATATTATGTGAATATGTTCAATGGAGACCATTGATCTTATTGGAATGTGTCCAATGCAGACCTATGATGTAATGTGAATATGTATAATGTAGACATATCGTGTTATGTGAATATGTACAATGTAGACCTATGATGTTATTGGAATATGTACAATGTAGACTTATGATGTTATGTGAATATGTATAATGTAGACCTATGATGTTATTTAAATGTGTACAATGTAGGCCTATGCTGTAATGTGAATATGCACAATGTAGGCCTTTGATGTTATGTGAATATGCACAACGTAGACCTATGATGTCATGGGAATATGTACAATGTAGACCTATGGTGTTATGTGAATATGTACAATGTAGACCTATGATGTTATGTGAATATGTATAATGTAGACCTATGATGTTATGTGAATATGTTCAATGTGGACATATGATGTTTTGTGAATATGTACAATGCAGACCTGAGACGTTAAGTGAATATGTAAAATGTAGACATATGATATTATGTGAATATGTACAATGTAGACCTATGATGTTATGTGAATATGTTCAATGGAGACCTTTGATGTTATTGGAATATGTCCAATGCAGACCTATGATGTAATGTGAATATGTATAATGTAGACCTATGATGCTATGTGAATTATGTACAACGTAGACATATGCTTTAATGTGAATATGCACAATGAAGACCTTTGATGTTATGTGAATATGCACAACGTAGACCTATGATGTTATGGGAATATGCACAATGTAGACCTATGTTGTTATGTGAATATGTACGATGTAGACCTATGATGTAATGTGAATATGTATAATGTAGACCTATGATGTTATGTGAATATGTACAATGTAGACATATGATGTTATGCGAATGTGTACAATGTAGACCTATGATGTTATGAGAATATGTACTATGTAGACCTATGATGTTATGTAAATATGTACAATGTAGACACATGATGTTATGTGAATATGTACGATGTAGACCTATGATGTTATGTGAATATGTAAAATTTAGACCTATGATGTTATGAGAATATGTACAATGTAGACATATGATGTTATGTGAATATGTACAATGTAGACCTATGATGTTATGAGAATATGTACAATGTAGACATATGATGTTATGTGAATATGTACAATGTAGACCTATGATGTAATGTGAATATGCACAATGTAGACCTATTGTGTTATGTGAATGTGTACAATGTAGACTTATGATGTAATGTGAATATGTACAATGTAGAACTATGGTGTTATGTGAATGTGTACAATGTAGACCTATGATGTCATGGGAATATGCACAATGTAGACCTATGGTGTTATGTGAATATGTACAACGTAGACCTATGATGTCATCGAAATATATACAATGTAGACTTAAGATGTTATTGGAATATGTACAATGTAGACATATGGTGTTATGGGAATATGTACAATGTAGACCTATGATGTTATGTGAATATGTACGATGTAGACCTATGATGTAATGTGAATATGTATAATGTAGACCTATGATGTTATGTGAATATGTACAATGTAGACATATGATGTTATGCGAATATGTACAATGTAGACCTATGATGTTATGAGAATATGTACTATGTAGACCTATGATGTTATGTGAATATATCCAATGCAGACCTATGATGTTATGTGAATATGTGTAATGTAGACAGATGATGTTATGTTAATATGGACAATGCAGACCTATGATGTCATGTGAATATGTATAATGTAGACCTATGATGTTATTAGAATATGTACAATGTAGACATATGATGTTATGTGAATATGTACAATGTAGACCTATGATGTTATGAGAATATGTACAATGTAGACCTATGATGTTATGTGAATATGTACAATGTAGACCTATGATATTATGTGAATATGTTCAATGGAGACCATTGATCTTATTGGAATGTGTCCAATGCAGACCTATGATGTAATGTGAATATGTATAATGTAGACATATGATGTTATGTGAATATGTACGATGTAGACCTTTGATGTTATGTGAATATGTACAATGTAGACCTATGATGTTATTGGAATATGTACAATGTAGACTTATGATGTTATGTGAATATGTATAATGTAGACCTATGATGTTATTTAAATGTGTACAATGTAGGCCTATGCTGTAATGTGAATATGCACAATGTAGACCTTTGATGTTATGTGAATATGCACAACGTAGACCTATGATGTCATGGGAATATGTACAATGTAGACCTATGCTGTTATGTGAATATGTACAATGTAGACCTATGATGTTATGTGAATATGTATAATGTAGACCTATGATGTTATGTGAATATGTTCAATGTGGACATATGATGTTTTGTGAATATGTACAATGCAGACCTGAGACGTTAAGTGAATATGTAAAATGTAGACATATGATATTATGTGAATATGTACAATGTAGACCTATGTTGTTATGTGAATATGTTCAATGGAGACCTTTGATGTTATTGGAATATGTCCAATGCAGACCTATGATGTAATGTGAATATGTATAATGTAGACCTATGATGTTATGTGAATTATGTACAACGTAGACATATGCTTTAATGTGAATATGCACAATGAAGACCTTTGATGTTATGTGAATATGCACAACGTAGACCTATGATGTTATGGGAATATGCACAATGTAGACCTATGTTGTTATGTGAATATGTACGATGTAGACCTATGATGTAATGTGAATATGTATAATGTAGACCTATGATGTTATGTGAATATGTACAATGTAGACATATGATGTTATGCGAATATGTACAATGTAGACCTATGATGTTATGAGAATATGTACTATGTAAACCTATGATGTTATGTAAATATGTACAATGTAGACACATGATGTTATGTGAATATGTACGATGTAGACCTATGATGTTATGTGAATATGTAAAATGTAGACCTATGATGTTATGAGAATATGTACAATGTAGACATATGATGTTATGTGAATATGTACAATGTAGACCTATGATGTTATGGGAATATGTACAATGTAGACATATGATGTTATGTGAATATGTACAATGTAGACCTATGATGTAATGTGAATATGCACAATGTAGACCTATTGTGTTATGTGAATGTGTACAATGTAGACTTATGATGTAATGTGAATATGTACAATGTAGAACTATGGTGTTATGTGAATGTGTACAATGTAGACCTATGATGTCATGGGAATATGCACAATGTAGACCTATGGTGTTATGTGAATATGTACAACGTAGACCTATGATGTCATCGAAATATATACAATGTAGACTTAAGATGTTATTGGAATATGTACAATGTAGACATATGGTGTTATGGGAATATGTACAATGTAGACCTATTATGTCATGGGAATATGTACAATGTAGACATATGTTGTTATGAAAATATGTACAATACAGACCTATGATGTTATTGGAATATGTACAATACAGACCTATGGTGTTATTGGAATATGTACAATGTAGACCTATGATGTAATGTGAATATGTACAATGTAGAACTATGATGTTATTGGAATGTGAACAATGTAGAACTATGATGTTATTGGTATGTGTACAATACAGAACTATGAAGTTATTGGAATATGTACGATGTAGACCTATGATGTTATTTCAGACATATTATGTTTTTTTAAGTGAATGTATGCAGTGCAGACCTATGGTGCTCAGTAAATGTGTACAATGCAGACCTATGGTGCTCAGTGAATGTGTACAATGCAGACCTATGGTGCTCAGTGAATGTGTACAATGCAGACCTATGATGCTCAGTGAATGTGTACAATGCAGACTTATGGTGCTCAGTGAATGTGTACAATGCAGACCTATGGTGCTCAGTGAATGTGTACAATGCAGAATGATGTTGTTATGTGAATATGGACATTTCAGGCATGTTTTTAAGTGAATGTATCCAATGTAGAACTATGATGCTTAGTAAATGTGTACAATTTAGACCTGTGTTGTTAAGCGAATGTACAGTGAAATCATAAGTTGTGTGTGAATGTGTACATTGCATACCTATGTTGTTACGTGAATGTGTATAATACCCCGAAATCATAATGCTACTACGAATGGTTAAATCTATCATTATGGAAACATGGAAAAAACAGACTGAAATTCACTCATATATTTCACTTACAAGGTACTGACTAGTCGTTCCGAACCACTGGCTTACAGTTCACTGACTGCCGTGGACGCATGCTCTTTCCATAGGGCGGGGTATAAATGATTTATTCTCCCTCACAAAGATGTATGTCCCGCGTGGGTGTACAGCTGTGTACCGGGCATACATGATGCAAAAAAAATGTTCAAGATGACGTGAACCAATCAGAGATGCACATTCTTACATGAGGTAGGATAAATGTTCAATGTGAATGTGTACAATGCAGACACAAACTCGTTTTTATGTGTCACCAATTTTGATTGTATTTATCTAAAGTATGAATTGTAACATTCACATGCATTAACATGTCCTTAAGATTTGCCAATATGATTGTATCTTGAACTGGAACTCAAAGGAGGGAGTACATATTGACATTGTCAGTCGACATATAAAATATTATATTTATGCTAAAAGCATTTGTAGTTGTAACATTAACCAGGCAGGTGTATTTCCTTGTAGCTTTCATCAAACAGAATTCTTACCTTTTGCTAAGAGAGTACCTGCACAACCAGCAGCACATCGCCAGGACGATAAGTACGTACAGTGAAGCAACTGTTGACAGTCTGATTGGCTTGGGTTGCAAAGGCCCCTAACCTCTTAATCAGGCTTAATTCCTCTCTACAACATACACTTGGATTATTCAGAATGAACTTCAGCCAATGATACCTAGACTCTTTGTATTTTGGCATTTCCAACTGACCAATGAACATAGTGGTAGCAAATTAGAAGCCACGTTATCATGTGGGTATTCCGAAACAATTGTACCGCTTTATTTTAAACACATTTTGTTTTAACTGATCAAAAATGTTAATAAACTCATACACTTTCAATTCAGGACAATATTACACGTAATAGAGCACACTTGTACTAGTTCAGTGCATAATTTGGAATGCTAGCACGTCTTTCTCACTAAATTTCTTAATCATGTTGGCCTTTTTAAAAGGCTTCTCTTGAGAGCAGAGTGTTTCTTTCTCATCTAACACAACATTTTATGGTTGCATTACAAGATTTGTGAAATCGAATACTTTTATTGTATTATTTACCTTCACATCACATTGTTATATATAGAAGAGTTGTTTATAAAGGGGTCGATCTCACAATTCCAGAATAGTCTTTTGTTATTATTATTATTTTTTAATAACTCAACCAACATGCCTAATTAAGAACAATAAGTGCAACGGGAGATCGGATGTCCTTCATGCAATATGTCCAGACTCGGGTATTTACAGACAGCTGACATAAATCTGGAATATTGTTGAGTGCGACGATAAATAGCAAACAAACATTGTTCCCTCAAAAAATGGAAGCACTATCTTCAGACCTTCAGGTTACGATCATAGGACTAAGTGAACTATTCGTAAAAGAATACATGCCATGTATAAATACTCCATGATTAGTTTGTATCCTGCCTTGATTGTTGTTTCGTTAGTTTGTATTGTCACAAGGTGCCCAGCAATGTTCGAGCTTACTGACCGGACAGACATTCCAGAGAGCATTGATATAGGCACTTGGGCTACGGTGACGCCATCAAACAATTCAGCAGGCGTGACCACACCAGAGACCATATAATTAAAGGGACGGCCCTCAAAACAATGCGGAGTACCATCAACACTACTGCCTGAACTTTCTCTTCCAACAGAGGTTATCTGTCATATCTTCCTACGAACCTCTGTTCTAATACGGCCCTTTCCTGGTGCGAGTATTCAGGATTCGTGATTGGTTGCAATCAGATTTAGTTGTGCAATCACCGACTTTGTTTCAGTAGTGATCATTCGCAAGGCCTCGATAATATCCGTATGCTTCGAGAAAACCAGAACCTCTTCCCCTGCGCGATGCGCAAACGTTTCTTCTAGACAGAACTCAGCCAGGTAGTGGTAGATAAATGGTGTCTCTATCGCCTTCGTTGACAAGGGACAAGCTAGCCATTAATTGTCTTGTGTGTCACATCAACACAAGACCCCGGCAGAGGAGGGATATGTGTTGTCCGATAATTGCTTGCATTAGTCAAGTTGGATATATGTCGATGTAAAACGTGTTCTGATTGTATAGAGGGGCGGTGGGGTAGCCTAGTGGTTAAAGCGTTCACTCGTCATGCAGAAGACCTGGGTTCGATTCCCCGCATGGGTATAATGAGTGAAGCCCATTTCTGGTGTCCCCCGGCGTGATATAACTGGAATATTGCTAAACGCGGCGTAAAACCACTACTCACTCTCTCTGATTGTATAGAGAAAAGGGAGATAATTCGTGTTGTGAATTTTTGCAGCGAATCCGGAAGCTGGCGAATAGTATATGGTCCGTGACGACAGGCATGGGATAGGATGACATGCATTGACTAGCTCAGCATGTCTGACCACACTTCCGACAAGCATGGGTTGCCAAATGGAGGAGGAATCTGTTTGGTCGGTAGAAGGGACATACAAGGGACACAACTCCTCATGGCCAATGGTGGTGCTTCGAACTTCGAGCCTACTTTGTCAGGGGTGGAATTTGGACAACCTTTACCCAGGACGTAAGTGTGTTTATTCAGGACACAAGGAGCCACTTGGAGCTCTTTATTCAGGACACAAGGAGCCATTTGGAGCTCTTTATTCAGCGCACAAGGAGCCATTTGGAGCTCTTTATTCAGGACACAAGGAGCCATTTGGAGCTCTTTATTCAGGGCACAAGGAGCCACTTGGAGTTCTGTCTTCAGGACACATGGAGCAATTTGGAGCTCTTTATTCAGGACACAAGGAGCCATTTGGAGCTCTTTATTCAGGACACAAGGAGCCATTTGGAGTTCTTTAGTCAGGGCACAATGAGCCACTTGGAGCTCTTTATTCAGGACACAAGGAGCCATTTGGAGCTCTTTATTCAGGACACAAGGAGCCATTTGGAACTCTTTATTCAGGACACAAGGAGCCACTTGGAGCTCTTTATTCAGGACACAAGGAGCCACTTGGAGCTCTTTATTCAGGACACAGGAGCCATTTGGAGCTCTTTATTCAGAGCACAAGGAGCATTTGGAGCTCTTTCGTCTAGAAAAGACCTCGGGAAGGCAGACAGAAATGAGTGAGCCTGAGTTTTCGAAATGGGCAACGGAATAATTGTTGTTCCTCGAAATAAAGTAACCGGTACTAATGATTACACAAAGTCATTTAGAAAAAGGTCAAATGCAACATATGCTATAGTCAGGATATGTTTTATGTCCCATCCCAACCGTCAGTTTTGAAGATATATGTAAAAACGGATTAAAAGAAAATTCTAACAAATAAATAAAGTCAGTGAATCTTTACTCGCTGTTGTTGTTATTTGTTTTACAGATGACAATAGCAATTCAAGGATAGGCAACTGCAAGAGTGAATAAACTTTGCTAGTTTACCGACTTATCCGTTATGACAGGTCAGAGTACTGCAGATCTATTATTCCTATAAACTTCCAAATTTTCAATTTCACAAGAATAACTTCTGTGCGCAAAGGCAGTGCCAAGAATGCAGCACTGTAGTTATTAGTAATTCAAATATAAAACTCTAGTAATGCAAAATTTCCTAAAATAAATCTCGGCCCCAAAACACTACAACTTACGTTGAGTCTGTTGTCTCTCTAACTGCTTTAGAACGAGAGTATGCTATATGACGTCATCGTACTTCCGGTAATGCATGTAGCAGAAGACGCCGAACGTTAGAGCGAGAAGAATGCGATCTAACATCCAAATAAGACGTGACATTAAATTAAACGGATATAGTTTACCAGTTACCACCTCCAGGAACACGCCTGCGTAAGTACTTTTCAAATATCCATTTATATTTCAGCAGATTTAATGTATAAACAATCTCTGAATCAACAACACATGTTTTGATGACGTAATCGCCTGGAGCTCGCGGGACAATTCGAGCATATATCTTGAGCGAATCATAACCATTAAATCTTACGACAAAATACATTAATATGAACTTGTAACTACAATATATATTGTTTTTACACACAATACATGTATGTCATAAGATGTAATCACGTTTTGAGAAGTTAGCAAACATGAACACGATCTCGGAAGCGTGGTAAAAATACAAAGTCCTAGATCGTTTACGACCTGACTATTTCAATAGCCACGTTTTTGAAAGAAGACTCATCCCGAGTTAACATATTTACATTAATACAGCTATATTATCCTATTTTGCAGTTTGCCCTTAAAGTTACAAGGTGAGGATAACAATACAATTCAAACAATACAATTATGCATTTCAGATAAATACATGTTACATAATATCATGTTATGTACATACATTATTAATTCCTTACCTTGCGTTAATTCTTATGCACATTTCATATACTTACACATATCCAGTGAATATGAATATATATCCAAGAAAATATAGATCACCTCTCATTTTAAATGTCACAATGAGGTAGCCCAAAACTGGTTCCATGAACATATTGTCCATCATCAGTCTGTACTACACAGTTCTTCATCTTTCAAAAACACTCTTGTCCTGCAAACACAGTTCATTAGTCCTTGAATTGCTCTTGGTTTGTACTTTCCAAGTTATGGTGCCGTCGGTTTCCTACATGAATATGAGACATATGAAAACATCTCCAGGAAATTAAAAGAGAAAAGATGAGAAGACGAAAAGAAATGTGATAAGAACATCCGAGAAAATGAAACAAAATTGAAATCCTCCACACTGAGACACAGTATGCACCCCTTGTCTCGTTTATCCTATGCCCGTTGGCTGCCACTGCCCTGAGACATGCTTCTAATAAAAGCATCAGCTGCGCAACGCTGGTCCAACTGTTGCTGGAAACGCCTCCCCTCAGCTGACTGCAGCACCGCCATCACCTCCCAGCCTTTGGCGATGAATTCATCCAACTGGGGCTTGTTAGTTGGGATGTCTTGGCAGGATGGCCACTGCGCCCCAGGCCGAGTAGCAGGGGCCTGTTGCAGGATAGTGTTGCGCTCTCGAAGAGCTGCAATTTCCCTCTGCAGATCCGACACAGTTGGCATAGGTGTGGGTTTATCTAACTCAGTTGGTTCTGGATGAACAGCTTGTGGCTTGTGAGCAGACAGGGCAGAGCAAGAGGCTGAGGACTTTGCTGCTTTCCCCTTCTTGCCCGCCCTCTTGCCCCGGGGTCGCCATGTTTGCCATGATAAACAGTAGACCCCAGGGTCAACAAAATTCTCGTTTATTTCCACCTCCACGGTCACCTCAGCACACAGTTTGTCAACATTGAAGTGATGACATTTGACTTGTCATGGGAATGGGCTACATGATATTTTAAAGCTTTCATTGAGGAACGTGAGCTCTTGCACCTCTTAACAGGGCATGCAAATGTCTTATGCATCCTTTGGTGCGTCTGCGCCCAGTGCTCTTCAAACACACATCTTGATGGGAACGTCTTTGTAACTAGACAGGCAGGGCAGTCCATGTTCGGAATGAACTTTACGAACTTCATCCCTGGCGCCCCCTCCTTCACCATCCTTTCGTCCTTCACCAAATCCATCACCTCATCTTCTTCCACTCCAAGATCTAAAATGTCAGCCATTGTTGCGATTGCAAAGAAGTAAGTAACACTTACATTAGATATGTTGCAACTGATAACAGTGCTTATCACCTTTTCTTTATTCTAGATACTCTCATGAATTATGATCCTTCATCAGCCTCCGTAGAGAGAACAAGAGTAAAATCCACACCTAACAACCATATCTAGTAAATAGATTAGAAAGCTTACAGCAAGCCCAAATTTTAAATCTTCACCATTTAAAAGATAAGTCGTTTAACATTCAGTTTCCATGCTAAAACCTTCCTCAGATCTCATTTGGATCTGTTACATCCACAATGTAACTGCAACATTCAACTCTCGCAAAACAAAAGCATATAAGGAAATAAGTAATTGTTTTCAGATTCATGGGAAATAACGGTACGCTATCAACATGTGAGAATTATTGAGAAGTCCACCATGTTGGAGGAGCATCTCCCTCATAAGGCAGAAGTCTGTTGGCATGGACATTTTGTATCCGGTAAGTCACATCATGAATCTGTTTGATGACAACCCATCCCTTCTTCCAGCAAGGAATGAACTTCCTACTGGATGGGAGATTCTTCCCAGGATTATATTATCACGCTGGTAGTCCAACTTTGAGCAGAAAATCTTTAGTTCCCACATCATACCTTTTCTTCCTTATTTCTGAAGAATGTTTAAGGCAGCGACGAGCAGACTCAAAGGCATATTCAAACCTTTCCCTTAATTCCTCAACATACTCATCATGTTTCAAAGCCATTTCATTAGGATTCCCAGTAATCAGTTGGACTGGTAATCGTACTTCTCTGCCCAGTGTAAGTTCATTTGGCGTAAACCCAGTAGACTCGTGGCTAGAAGATCTGTAAGCTGCCATGACATACGGAAGATGTTTGTCCCATGATTTATGTTTCCCATCTGCATATATGCAGAACATGGCACTGAAGGTACGGTAAAAACGCTCAACCTGGCCATTGGCTTGCGGTCGCAGAGCTGTTGTCCTTGTCTTCACAATGCCAAGCAACTTACATAGTTCTTGGAAGAGGGTAGCCTCATACTGTCTGCCATCGTCACTGTGTATCAGTGCAGGTGTACCAAAGCTACAAACCCACTCCTCCACTATCTTCTTCGCTACTGTTCTCGCCTCAATATTTGGCATGGCGTAAGCCTCTGTCCATTTTGTGAATGCATCGGTAACCACCAATATGTACTTGTTACCAGACTGTGTAGGATCGAGCGGTCCCATAATATCAGTTGTTAGTCGCTCCATAGGTGAGCCACTTACATACTGCTTCATGGGTGCTCTCTGCTTCGAGGGTCGTTTCTGAGCAGTACACTTATCACACTTAGAACCGTGTTGTCTAATGTCTCTTTTCATGTCAATCCAATAATACGACCGTTGGATCTTTGGAGAGTTTTCCCCACCCCTAGGTGGCCTCCTAATGGAGAATCATGATTCTGGGTGAGGATAAGGCGACGTTTACAAGTTGGCATGACAATCTGCCAGTGCCATCGTCTGCCATCTTTGTTCTCCCATCTCCTATGGAGTACTCCTTGTCTAATAGATAATCGATCATATTGTCCCCACAGAGCCTTGCAGGCATTTGAAGTTCCAGACACCTCCTTCCACTGCGGCTTGATATTATTAGCTCTAGCTTTGTAGATGAGTGCAATATCATTATCCTCTAACTGAAGATTTTTCAATTCATCGGGCGACAGTTGTTCATAATGAACAGCTTGGTTCATACTCCCTGCCTCTACCAACTTGGACCTTGTCACTGCACCACAAAATCTTGGAGATGAATCAAGACCAGCGCATTGTTTGCTGCAAGGTCCATTCTCCCGTTTGCATTGAGCACATGGTACACAAGGTTGACGACTTAAGGCATCCGCATTCCAATGAATGCGCCCTGGCCTATGAATCTCCTGTAGGTCATAATTGCTTAGCTCTTGAAACCACCTGGCCATCTGATTTACAGGTTTCTTAATCCGCTTTGCCCAAGCCACAGCAGAATTATCAGTTCTAATAATCACAGGCTGTCCAAATACATATGGATGCCAATACCGGCAAGCAGTCACTACTGCAAGAAGTTCACATCGGGTAACACAGTAGTTCCTCTCAGCAGCAGAGAGAGTCTTACTGAGATATCCCAGAACAACTTCCCCATCTTCCTGTACTTGTGATAACACTGCGCCGAGTCCTTCACCTGAAGCATCAGTGTCAATGATAACTTGGCCATCTGGTTGAGGAAAACCAAGAATCGGAGCAGAAGTGAGAGCGAGTTTTAAGCTCATAAAAGCTTCATCTGCTTCTTCACTCCACTGAAACTCAACTAGTTCACTAGTAAGTCTGGTTAAGGGTCTTGCAATTTTAGAAAAGTTTTGAACAAACCGCCTGTAGTAGTTTGCCAAACCCAAAAATCTCAAAACATCTTTTCGACATTTTGGTGTAGGCCATTCTTTTACAGCCTCAATTTTTCAGGTTGTGTGTGGATTCCATCTGCTGAAATCACATGTCCTAAAAGGTTCACTTTGGTCTGAAACAAGTGACATTTCTTTGGCTTAAGCTTTAATCCAGCTGCTGTAAGTCTGTCTAAGACCATTTTGAATCGTTGGAGAGTTTGCTCAAAATTAGTTCCAAAGACAATTATGTCATCAAGGAAACAGAGGCATTCTACCCATTGTAGACCTCTGAGCACTGTCTCCATCAACCGTTCAAACACACTCGGTGCATTGCACAGACCAAATGGCATAATAGTCCACTCATATAACCCTGATCTTGTGACAAATGCAGTCTTTTCACGATCTTTAGAGTCCATCTCTACCTGCCAATATCCTGCTTGTAGGTCCATAGTGCAGAATAGTTTCGCACCACCTAGACTATCAATACAGTCTTCTATTCTCGGTAGAGGGTATGAATCTTTCTTAGTTGAAAGATTCAACAACCGGTAGTCACAACAAAATCTGTATCGGCCATCACTACGTTGCACTAAAACAGTTGGTGAAGCCCATGGACTAGTAGAGGGTATAATCACACCTTGCTCCAACATTCGAGCAACTTCTCTTTGCTCTACTTCACGTTTTGCAAGTGCCTGGCGTCTAGGGGCCTGCTTAATTGGTTGCGCATCACCTGTATTGATAGTGTGCTTTACCAACCCAGTGCGCCCTAAATCATCATCATTCTTAGCAAAAGTACTCTGATAACTACCCAGGACATTTTTCAATTCCTCCTGTTGAGATTCATCAAGATTAGATTTACTTCTGTCATACAGATCTTTCAGATAATCAGGAATCACTGCATTTTTTACCTGAAGTTTTGCAATTCTCTTGATGTTTTTGTTTGAGGACAAAGTAACACCTTGACACTGAGCCAAAATTCTACTAGAAGCCAGAGTAATTGGGTTGTCTGTCACATTAATGAGTTTAACATATGCTGTATTAGCCCTTTTCACAACACTGTTACTCGTGAGAAGACCACATTGTGCTAAAATCTCCTTACATGGCTCTACAAGAACATTATTGTTCTGTTGATTATTTGGTAATGACAGTTTAACATAAGACACTGACTGTGGTGGAAGCAAGGTATCTTCAGCTACTACTGCAGTTCTGTCAGCTGCAAAAGTAGGTAACCAAATTCCTGTAACTTGATCCTGTGATCTGCAAGATCAACTACAGCACCTAGATCAGTGAGTATGTCCATTCCCAAAATACCATCAACTTCGAACGAGTTCTCAATCTCAGCTACAAGAAATTCTTCCTGCGTAGGTTCCATGTCTTCACTTAAAGTCATCAATGCCTTGAATATTCCTTTTACAGGAAATGAGGTTCCATTAACAGCCTCCAAGGACAAAGTAATAGGACTCAGTGAAACAGAACGAGGAAGACGCTTGTAAGATCTCGGAGATATCAAAGACACTTGGCTACCAGTATCCACTAACAAAGTAATGTAAGTATTATCCAGTTTGATATTCACTAACTGGCCTTCATCACCTATTTTAAAACAAGGTCTCATCATTGCAATAACTTGCTGAGAATCAGGTGTGAGAAAATTTTTGGGTTGCGTCTCTGCTGCAATCACCTCCTTTTCCAGCTGACCACTTGAGTCTGTTAACTTAGGATTCAATGTAACATTGCCATCCGCCAAATCCCGACCTAAGTCCGAGATGGCGGGTTGGCATTTCCCTGCGCATGCTGCGGAGTTGCTCTACCAGTTGACTGACTCACACACTGTGATGTCCAATGTCCTGGTCTATGACAGATTGAACAAAATGAATTTGCTCTCTTGTCATGCCTAGATGGACTCTGAGCGCTGCGCATGCCCCTATTTTGGGTACGCCCTGGACTGCCATAAGGAGTTTGACTCATTGAACTGTTTTGTCCCTTTGAACTACCACTTCCTTGCATTTGAGACAATCTGTCAACAGTTTTTTGTAAGTCTGCCAGCTGTTTTGACAAAACATTAAGTTTATCCTCAGTTCTATCCGGCGACTCAAAATGTACTTTCTTCTCCGCAGGTCGTGTGTATGCAGTGGCTTTCACAGACCTGTGAGTGGTTCGACAGTTTGGTCCGCCCAATACAGACTCATACCTTTCTGCAACATCAACTGCTCCTTGTAGTGTGCAAACACTCTGGTCAAGGAACCGGAGACGGAGATCTTTGTCAACTGCTCTTTTCAGAGCATCTAGCGCCAATCTCTCCTGGAGGCCATCATCCAGATCAGGATAGGCTTCCTGGACAAGTCGCCAAACATCATCTCTCAAGTCTGCTATTGACTCACCAGGGTTACGATTTCGGTTTAGTAATTCTTCCTGCTTAACCTCAGGAAAACTTCTACCATATCGTCTCCGAAGGGTATCTGCAAGCCATTGGTAGTCATAGCGACTACGCTCAGGTAATCTGGCATAAAACACCTGTGCTGCTCCTTCCAGAGCGCATCCTAACATATCAGCACACTGCTGGTCAGTCCAATGTGATTGCCTAGCCACATTCCTGAACTGAGCCTCAAAGGCAGCATAATCCCCTTTACCACTGAACTTTGGCAAGTGCAAAGAGATCCGCGCCACAGGAGTAGCTCTAGAATCAGTTTGTCTGACATCCATGGCACTAACCCGCTCCGCTAAGCTCAAAACTGTGTTTGAGAGCTGTGCCATGATGTTAACCATGTTCATCTCATTGTGACTGGCCATTTGCTGAGAAGGATGGTCATTCCTTCCAAGAGGTCTGTATGACACATTGTCATGCAAAGATGGTGAGCAGTACTTTTGCCTGTTCGAGTCAAGCGACTGCGAATCACACTGAAAATGTTGCTGCCTGCCATGACCCTGCAAGTCGCCTTCACTGAAGGACCTACTCGGATCAACAGCCCTGGCGCTATCTTCTCTTGTGGCACCATCTTCCAATGGTCTGCGATATTCTCTCGCGACCTGGATGCTGTTTTGATTATCCACAATACGTTTGGTACGTGACCTTAAGTTAGTTGCAGGGCCTTCCATTGCATAGAGTTTATCAGAAAAACTATTTTGATAATCATCCATAATTACACTAATAAGCTGAGTAAAATTTCCACATCATATGTACTTATACAAAAAGAGAATCCCACTTCTGACACCATTAAACTGTAACGGGTTGGGGGTGGGGGACGTGGTAATCAGGATATGTTTTATGTCCCATCCCAACCGTCAGTTTTGAAGATATATGTAAAAACGGATTAAAAGAAAATTCTAACAAATAAATAAAGTCAGTGAATCTTTACTCGCTGTTGTTGTTATTTATTTTACAGATGACAATAGCAATTCAAGGATAGGCAACTGCAAGAGTGAATAAACTTTGCTAGTTTACCGACTTGTCCGTTATGACAGGTCAGAGTACTGCAGATCTATTATTCCTATAAACTTCCAAATTTTCACTTTAACAAGAATAACTTCTGTGCGCAAAGGCAGAGCCAAGAATGCAGCACTGTAGTTATTAGTAATTCAAATATAAAACTCTAGTAATGCAAAATTTCCTAAAATAAATCTCAGCCCAAAAACACTACAACTTACGTTGAGTCTGTTGTCTCTCTAACTGCTTTAGAACGAGAGTATGCTATATGACGTCATCGTACTTCCGGTAATGCATGTAGCAGAAGACGCCGAACGTTAGAGCGAGAAGAATGCGATCTAACATCCAAATAAGACGTGACATTAAATTAAACGGATATAGTTTACAAGTTACCACCTCCAGGAACACGCCTGCGTAAGTACTTTTCAAATATCCATTTATATTTCAGCAGATTTAATGTATAAACAATCTCTGAATCAACAACACATGTTTTGATGACGTAATCGCCTGGAGATCGCGGGACAATTCGAGCATATATCTGGAGCGAATCATAACCATTAAATCTTACGACAAAATACATTAATATGAACTTGTAACTACAATATATATTGTTTTTACACACAATACATGTATGTCATAAGATGTAATCATGTTTTGAGAAGTTAGCAAACATGAACACGATCTCGGAAGCGTGATAAAAATACAAAGTCCTCGATCGTTTACGACCTGACTATTACATTTGGAATTGCACTTCAGGCTTTGTGTACCCTCTGATAAGTGTAAATTGACTCGGCTCCCACGGCCGAAAGCTACTCTGAGGGTGTGGGTTCGAATCCCGGATGGGAAAAAAGTACTAGATTTTGTACTTTACTGAGAAAGTGAAATCCCAAATATATGTTGCAACTGGCATCAAGTCATCGTGTATGGATGACTAAATCGTGTATACATCCTCAGCGCGATTAAACATTCATAAATATACATTTCGTTCATTCATTAATCGACTGTCCAACTGTCTATCATACAGAAGCACCGGAGGCCAGAGCTTGTACATCATCCCCTTATTGAAGTTGAGCGGACTTACTCCTTACAATACAGTCTTACGAAGGACTGTTGCCATCACACGTCCTTCACACAGCATACAGTATCACAGGAGGCCAGAACTTACATATCAGCCAAATACTGGATGGCCTACTCCTTACAATGCAGTCTTAGGAAGGACTGTTGCCATCACACGTCGTTCACACGTCCTTCACACAGCATACAGTATCACAGGAGGCCCGAACTTACATATCAGCCCTATACTGGATGGTTTACTCCTTACAATGCAATCACATGCAGCCTGTGGGCTGCGGACATCCCATCCCTTCCACATTCTTGTACCTGTGACGTCTGTATTTGTCTCTTGGTCTCTGCTCTAGCACTACGTTAGATTATACACATTCTGTAAGAACAAACAGTAGGGGATCATACAGAATATGTCCATACCAAGTAGGACCGGGCTTGAGCTGAAAACAAAACCGTTATGAAAACACCCATACGTCGCCGCTCTAAAACCAGCCGCCATGGGCTTCTTTGTTTGTCTTGAAAGAGTAATGAATTCTAATGGTTTGGCTTGAAGGCAGCGTTTGGATTCTAACAAGCTGAAATACCCTTGAAACATTACAATTTATTTGAAATATACGTCATTATACTTGCAAGCGACCTCTGTAAATAGCGAAAGTGCATCAAGTATCAAGTTCTGAAAGTGATTTACAAGTTGGACAAATACATGACACGTTTTATGGATTTATGAATAACAACGTTCTTTGTACGAGGTGTCAGAGATAAAGTACTGTCGGGAATAGAACAAACACTGCTTTTCACACTTATATCTATAATGTATGCAGTTAATATGTGAAAGTGTGAAATATATGTTAAACTAAGTTCGGCCTAACTACAGTCTGTATAGTGATAGGGAGATATCCAGAAAAACAAGAACTTTACTGAGGAGACATCAGTGCAGAAATGAGCGGTCCAAAGCGAATTATTTGGAACAGACCATGGCTTTAGGCAAATTAGTGTGCATTTCAAAGGACACTTTTTAAATGCCCATTTTGAAATGCTTCATTATAAACGATAGCTGACGTAAAAAATAATCACTTAATTCTGAATTAAAATAATCACTTAATTCTGCATTAAAGATGTAGCTACTACTGAGTTTCTCTATCACTATAAAAACAAACAGTTAGGAGGGGTCGTCTAAAAACCAAAACCAGGACAGGTGTCATGGATGGTGGTTGGGGTCGGGCTGAGGGATAGAGATAACAGCTAAGATAAAATAAAACTTCAGGAAATGAAGACACGTTAGATGTTAATCAATAGATGAAACATTTCCAACACACAAGAAAAAGTATAAAATATCTTTGAGATGACCCCTTGTAGGCAGCACATGCATTTCATGCCAGGAGAGTTGACGGTCCATCGTCATACCTGGCCGAGCGCCTATTTGATATCTATAGTATGATCTATTGCTTTAAGCAGATTTGCCTGATTTTACGAGTAAACAAGCTTTTCTGGATATCGTATTACGCATTCCATTTAACGCCCTGTTAGGCCGATGTGGGTTATTTCGACATTTGCTATATCCAACTGTGTAAAGTTTAGGGAAACAGAGTGACAGCCTAAAACAGTTTTTTTCTATTTCCGACAGTACTTTAACTGTGTTCCTTCTTCAGGTGACTGTTAAATCAGTGTCCAGAGTGAACATGTTGACACAGGGCAAGATGGGAGAATGTACACAGATAACACCATCTGAGATCGTTTCAGTCACCTATGACTAAACCCTCCGCGTGTTCTTGACGCATAAACCTTCAAGAATTGGACTCTTTACTTGGGATATTAAATTATCTTCACAATAAAATAGTGAGCGAGTGTGTTTAGATTTACGCCTTAAGCAATATTCCTGCAATATCACGGCGGGGGACACCAGTGACGGGCTTCAAAAAATGTGCCCATGTGGGGAATGGAACCTGGGTCTTTGGCGCGACGAGCGAACGCTTTAACCACTAGGCTACCCCACTGCACCTCATAATAAAATAACCACTCAGAGATGTTCCCCAAAACACCATTGACATTTCATTGAGATGGTACAGGACAGCAGCAGGTATACCAGAAAGGTATATCCTCAGGTAAACACCATTGACATGTCATGGAGATGGTACAGGACAGCAGCAGGTATACCAGACAGGTATATCCTCAGGTAAACACCATTGACATGTCATGGAGATGGTACAGGACAGCAGCAGGTATACCAGACAGGTATATCCTCAGGTAAACACCATTGACATGTCATGGAGATGGTACAGGACAGCAGCAGGTATACCAGAAAGGTATATCCTCAGGTAAACACCATTGACATGTCATGGAGATGGTACAGGACAGCAGCAGGTATACCAGACAGGTATATCCTCAGGTAAACACCATTGACATGTCATGGAGATGGTACAGGACAGCAGCAGGTACACCAGACAGGTATATCCTCAGGTAAACACCATTGACATGTCATGGAGATGGTATACCAGACAGGTACATCCTCAGGTAAACACCACACGACTAACTGACTGTACAACGGGTTGTGACGCTGCATGACAAGAGCTTGCTGTGATGTCATGTATCGGCATTTATTAGGACTCTCAAGGCGAATGAGCATGACTACAGACAGGATCGAGTCACACCACGTCATTACCTTCCTTAATTAGGCAGCGTTGACCTGCTGTCACTGAATCAGTTAAAGAAACTGCTTGATGGAGAAAATTGTATTTTATTGCATAATAGTTTTAAGCTGAAGTACGTGATTTCATATAACGTGTGAAAAGGCTCAAGTGACAAACTCAGTTACATGTTGCATTTAGTACATTCAGCTGACATGTAAGTCCGTTTATTCATGATCAACAACCGAATCGTCCACACAATTCATACAGCACATTTGCAGTAAGTGCTTTACCCTTTTACCTGGATATCAGTGAATCAATAGAATTGTTCACCCACGCATCTGTGACCCCCAAAAGCAAAACAGCACCAAACCAAACTGACTGTAAATTCGTTCCTCTACACTTTTCCCACAGACTTAACATCATCTCGGCTATATTTCAGCCATAGATCGGCGAGATCATGTTTACACATGTATACAGGTGTACCCTGTTGATTGCGATGCTATATTTAAACACTATTTTAACGTACATATTATAACAAAAATACTCTAAGAACTGCTTAAAACTGTTTATAAGATACCATCGGGCAAACGGTACTACTCTAACTGCATGATACCTAGGCAGGATTCATGGCTTCACTTTATCTGCCTAATACTGGTGGTTGTACGTAACACTAGCCAACATGAACACAATGTTCAGTGATGGGTTGACTCTGTTTGTCCCCCGTGATAGTCACACTGATCATTTTACGTAGTGATAACGTGACAGGGTATGATACCCCAGCAGGTTTTATGGCTTCACTGTAGCTACGTAACACAAGCCAACATAAACAAACTGTCTAGTAGTGGGTTGGCATAAGACTCTCTTTGATCATAGTCACACTGATTATTTTACGTGGTCCGTCTTTACACAACGTGACAAAAATCACATGTCACACAGGGGATGACAAGTCACACAGGGGATGACAAGACTGTATGGATGATTAACATCCACAAACAATGCAGACACAAAAAACAGCCATTTCGGAACACATCGCCAAATTTCCTCAACACAGCATCAACTGGGACACTGTCAAAACACTTAAAAACAACAAACATGATTACACTCAACGTAAATTGACCGAGGCATTACAAATACGCAGTTTTATCCTCTCTATTAACAGGGATCAGGGCTATTACATCCCATCAGCTTACAACCACCTAGTCCACAAATAATTATCCACTCGACCCACCCTGTCTTCTCATCACCTGTCTATCTGACATCCCTCACCACTGGTTTCCCACTAATTAACCCCCCACCACCTTGGCTTCTGCCTAATAAACTTACAGTCACTAGTTGTCACGGTATTCCCACTCATCTCATTCATGTTATCTCAGTTCATCATCCTGCTATTGTAGCTCATCATCCTGCTATTGTAGCTCATCATCCTGCTATTGTAGCTCATCATCCTGCTATTGTAGCTCATCATGTAACTTTCTTTGATGCTTTGTTCCCCACCCTTGTTGTTGTTATCTCTTTATCTTGTCTTGTATATAAACTGGTGTACTCCTCCATACCCCCATATGCTTGACAACGGTATAAGAATCTATACCGAACCGTCGCCATTGTCAAAATAAAGAAGTTGATCATTAATAAAGTCTTGTCATCTCTATACCACCAACTTGTAGAATGCCACTCATACAAAGTCACACAGGGGGTTGAGTATAGGAAGAAAAACCTAAAGATTATATAAATGTTGTTCTTTACCTCTCTTCAACCGTTACACGTTTTTTAATGTATACCAAATTGTGTTTCTTGTGTGTACAGTTAAACACCGCTGTGTCGAGGCTCAAGGAAGCTAATAAAATAATGATCTGTCGTTTAGTATAACCAAACAATAACGCAGAAATGATGGAATGCGCTGGGACCATGTATTTATGTTTGACGCATTACCGTTAGACTGTTGACTGTATAATGAGTTCCAACGGTCTCAGTCATTCGTCATATCAACACAACTACTACCATAACAGTGATATAGTAATTACAAAGCAGAATCTTCGAGGCATCAGTCAGCCAGCTTGCAAACTGGCTGAAATCACCACCATCACAAAACACATCTTAAATAACCCTGCGACGAATCACGGCCAGGTTACGTTCCACGCATTCCGTCACTTCATCTGATACGTCATCACTTCATCCACATCTATTTTCATTTGCCACTCTTTAACTTTAATGATAAACACATGACTGTATGCTGCTGACACTGATAAAAGTAATAAATACGACTTCTGCTGACTGTGTGAATACATATACATCAACATTCACACTGCATAATCATACATTAATATCACTGCTACCTCCCTTTTCTTCGATTGTAAAGCGGCAAAAACTGTACAAGAATGTATTGCATGATGCCTTGGTTGGTTAATTGGTGCACACAGCTATATTCCAGCCATATGAGCGGTATCTAAATAATAGAGTTTGGACCAGACAATCCAGCCATCAACAGCACGAGCAGCAATCTTCTCAGTTGGTATACAATGACATGTGTCAACCAAGTCAGCGAGCCCGATCACCTGATCCCATTAGTCACCTCTTTCGACAAGCGTGGGTTACTGATCCCCACGGGTCTGTATTGTATGACCATTTCGAGTATTTTGTGTTCCCTCGTCACGGAGAAGGTCCAAGTTGGAATTACCACATGGCTACGATATGTAAAGCCCATTTCTGGTGTCCCCCATCGTGATAGTGATGGATGGAATGTTGCTAAAAATGACGTAAAAATTAAACTTCACTCACTCTCATCATATGTACAATACACGGGGTCACAAGTTGAAGCAAGTATTCAAGAAACATATTTACAATTGCATCACAGGCACACATTATTCATCTTGCTTGTCTGTATTCATGATGTGGATGGGTTGACTGAAATAAAGGTCGACAATTTGACATTTATGTAATGAGTGAAGGATGGAGAATGGCTACTTAACATGTGGATCACTGATTACAGCAACATCTTGACGCACATCCTGTAAGGCTGTGTCCACTCCAAACAGCGCAAAGGATAATGTCTGTGTGCTTACGCACGATCATAGGATGTTAGTTTTTTTTCAGGACAATTTCTTTTCATATTAACATTGAGCACAAATATGTAACTTTGTGCTCAGTTACGCTTTCTGTCCGTCACTACCCGTCCCGTGGTAAAGCTTTTACACTGCTGATTACTTATAATCACATGTTCCATGCTCTTAGTTTAAGAAAAAGAAGTGGGTAGGTTTTTCAAGAATTCCGAAAAAGCGTTTGTGCTTTGTACCTGCCAATTAAGATTTTTCATATTTTGTTAAAGTAAGGCCTAATTAAGAACGAAGTTTAGACCATCGTACAGCAGCAATACTACTGACACAAGTATATACGTATCCCATAGTCACAATTGTACAGTTGAGTCTGCTTTTAGCTTTTCTTATGGATGTGGCAAGGATGTTGTCGTGTCCATTTATAGTTTAAGGATACCTAATTTGAAAAGTGAAAACAGTTGGTGGCTTGTAACATATGTTACATTTGGTGGGTAGGATTTTCAAGACTTCCGTAAAAATGCTTTGTGCTTTGTACCTGCCAACCTTGTTACACAGGCGAGTATTTCATTCTTTACGTCTGTTACTACCCTTCCTGTCAGTAATGGTACAGCTTTTACAATGCTGATTATTTATGTTTAAAAGATAGAAAGTTCCATACTTTCATTTCACTCATTTTCTTCCAAGCACGTGATGATTTCTTTGTTATTCCCTCGGCGAGTTTGAGTGAGGATATCCTCTTCTGTGTCTGAGACAAGATAGAGACATCTTTGCTGTGAGGTTACGCTTTCTGTCCGCCACTATCTGTCCCGTCCGTAGTTGAGGAGCTTGTACACATGCTTGCAAGTTTTTCCAAGTATGTGATAATTTCTGTATTGTTCATCCGGCGAGCTAGAGTCAGGATGTCCTCTCCTGTGTCTGGGACCTGAGAGAGCTCTGCTTTGTGATCCACCAGCAGCTTGAGGACATCTTCATTTCCACACATAGCCGCCATCACCACCGGTGTCCAGTTATATCGACCTTGGACATTGATGTCATAGTCCGGGAGCAGGTACTCCACGCAGTGTCTGTTGCCTCCGCGACAGGCCAGGTGGAGTAATGTGTCTCCAAAATGGTCTTTCTGGACAAGATCTGGACTCCCCCGACTGTAGGTCTTCAGGAACGTTAGTTCCCCTCTTACCAGAGACTTCATCAGTTCATTCCATGGTGTCACTTTCTTATCATGTTTTCTGGCTAGTTGTTTTATGATTTGTCTGCTCCCAAGTTTAAGAGCGAGATCAAGGACATCGTCTCCTGTGTTGTCAACTATTGACAAATCTGTACCTTTATCTTTCAGGTATTTGAGTACTGCAGCTTTTCCATACAGTACTGCCGTCATGGCAGGTGTCAAGCCCATGTTGTCCTGGGTGTTGACATCAAAGCCATCAAAGATGTGTTTCAACACAGCAAGCTGCCCATGGCGACTGGCAAGATGTAGAAGAGAGTGTCCGTCTTTGTCCACCAGCGTACGGTCAGCACGGTCAGCACTACGGGACACCAGGTATTTGTAGACAGCAACGTGGCCGCCGCAGACTGCTCTCATTAAAGGAGTCTGGCCATTCTTTCCTCTGCAGTTGATGTCAAAGCTGTCAACCACTTCCTTTACAATGGCTAGATTTCCTCCTTGACAAGCAGCATGAAGAACATTATCACCCTTAGGGGTAAGCAATGATTTAGCGCCCTTTCCTGTTGCATGCAGATCATACGCCTCCTTCTTCCCACTGAGAGCTGCCATCATTAATGGTGTAAATCCATCTTCTCCAGGAACGGTTATGTCAAAATGCGGCAGGAGAAACTCAATAACTAATGTATTTCCACCCCGGCATGCAAGATGGAGAATGTTGTTGCTGTAGTCATCAATCAGTTTGAGGTCAGGATTCATTGTCATCAGAAGGTCGATCACTTCATTCTTCCCAGCCCATGCTGCAGCCATTACTGGAGTTCGGCCATTTTTTCCCCGAATGTTGACATCGAATGTTGACAGAAGTGATTGTACAATGGGAATATTTCCTCCTTCACACGCCAGGTGAAGTACTGTGTCACGGTACACATTGTTTACAGACATGGAAACCTGAATACAGTAGATGAAAAGCAGCTTTCTTTCCACACCAGGCTGCATTCATCACCGCTGTCCAGCCATATTTTCCACGACAATTTATGTCAGAACCTTCCCCTATTAAATAGTCCACAATGGAGCTTTTACCCCCCTGGCAGGACAGGTGAAGTATTGTATCTTTGTTGTCATCAAGTGTTTTGAGGTCAGCGTTCTTTGACACAAGAAGTTTGAAAACCTCAGCATTGCCTGCCCAAGCCGCCTTCATAACACCTGTTCTCCCAAGGTTTCCCTGACTGTTCAAATCAGCCTTTTGCAGTAGATCCTTCACTATGGCTCTATTTCCTCCCAGACATCCTAAATGAAATACCGAGTTGTCGTAGTCATCCCTTAGAGAGAGATCCGCCCCTTCGGACACGAGCAAGTGGAACAGAATCTCGTGTCCATTGACAACCGCATACATCACCGGCGTCAACCCATTGCCTCCACGACTGTTGATATCAAATTGTGGGAGAAGGTTCTTCACAATGGCGACATTTCCTCCGTGGCAAGCAAGATGGAGGAGATTGTTACCATGGTCATCAGTCACTTCAAGATCTGCATTCTCCTTCACCAGCAGGTCATATACATCCTTTCTTCCAGTCACTGCTGCCTTCATTCCAGGTGTCCAGCCGTGTTGTCCTGGTATGTTGATGTCAAGCTTTGAAAGTAGATTCTTTAAAATTGACGTATCGTCTGGCTCACATGCTAAATGAAGGAGGCTGTTGTTGTCATCATCTCTCACATTGATGTCAGCTTTCCGTGACACAAGAACGTCGAATATTTCCTTCTTTCCTGAAGCTGCTGCACACATTATGGGTGTCTGGCCATGTTTACCAGGAGAATTAACATCTGTCAATGAAGCCAGAGTTTCTATTAGGGGAAATTTTCCCCACTCACATGCCAGATGAAGAGCCGTTTTGATGATGGAAGCTGGTAAACCTTTGTGTTTCAGAAAAACCTCCAATACATCCTTCTTCCAAGCGAACACTGCACGCGTGACTGGTGTCCAGCCGTCTGCTCCCCGACTGTAGATATCACATTTCAGGTCATTCAGCAGGTAATCTACAACTGAAGCTGTCCTGTATTCACTAGCTACATGTAGCAAGCTGTCTTTGTTGGCGCCACTTAGTTTTGCAGCATCTGTATGACCCATGAGATATTCTATACTTTCCTTCTGTCCAGAGACAACTGCATGTATAACAGGTGTCCAGCCATTCAAACCAGGCCTATTGATGTCACAGTGGGGAAGGAGCGTTTTCATAATTGATTTGTTCCAAGTGAAGCAGGCGTAACAGAAAATGTTGTGCTTGGCATAATCTGACAGAAAAGTTGTATTGTTGATCATTTGAGATAATCTGTCAGCTACTTCTGTTCTTTTCCATATAGGGTACATAATGTATTTGTTTAAAGCTCCACCATTGACAAGAAAGTGAACCATCCTGTCCACCAGTGTTCCACTGTATGCGTCTGAGAAAGGAATGATTAGATGGTGTTCATTGACAGGAATTATCATGTCGATTTGCGGATCCTGCACATGTTTCATGAGAAACTGGATGCTGAAATGTTCACGAACAAATTCAGGTTCAGTGCTGTATAAGACTGAAACACAGACATCATAAATCACAGAATGGGAAAATGTTGTTATGTTTCCTTCAGTCAACAATGAACCACAAAGACTCCTGACAGCTTTAGCTACACTATGGTTGGTTGATGTTGGCACAAGAGTCAGCACTGCCTGGAGGTGAGTCTCTAGGCCTGGGTCAGATTCTGTCTCCAACTGACCAATGTTCAGCTGCCCGTCACACAGGAGCACCAGGATCAGAGCAGCTGACTGGTCATCCCGCCGACTGATGATCTCCTGAAATTCATCATTTAGTGTCGATACAGGATTAACCAAGATGTTTTTATGATTCTCATGAAAGGCAGCATAACTAGATAAAAGCCTGCATACTAGAGGAAATCCAATAGCGTGTTTTTCGCTTGCAGTAAGTCCGATCGCATCGACTTTTGCTTTATATTTGTAATGGGATTTGTGTTTCAGCCATATTTTATTCTTCTCCTCATCTGTGCAGGACAATGACTTTGTTTTGGTCAAGTCTGCTATTGTACAACTGTTGAAAAACCTGAATGTCTGGCCTTCCAGTTTTGACATTGCACGTTCTAGGATGGTGGATTCTGAGGTGAATATGAGATACATGTTTGACTGGTTGTCTCTCCTTCCTTTCTCTCCCGACTCCTGTTGGTAACTCTCATATCGCCCTTCAGGCAAATTCTTACACTGTGTTAGATGCATATGGAGCTCATACAGAAGATGCGTTAGACGAAGCACATCCAAATATGGCCCGGCCATCCGAAATATGTCATCAAATATCAGACATACGTCTTTGCCATCGCCCTGCCAGTCAGATAGCTGCACGTTATCAAGATCCTCAACCAGTACCAGCTCAAACCCCTGTCTCCTGTATTCAGCTCCCAACATCAGGGCCATGGATGTTTTACCTGCTCCAGGAGCTCCACTGATTGTCACATGATGGAACGTATCCAGCATCTCTCCCACTTTCTTGAAGCTTTCAGTTTCCACAAACAGGGTTCTTGTGTTGTTTATCTTTTGCCCCAATGGATCTGCACGGAAAGAGAAATAAATGCATTTGAGAGGTAAAAGCAAGGCAATGAATAAGCGAGATTATCATTAAGTAATTATTTGTATTGCTACTTTATTTGCCATGCAAGTGATTTGTCCATGTTTCTTTCACATCCATGCAAATATATTTCATTTGATTTAAACATATGCGTGTTGTTCAAGAATTGTCATCAATCATAGTTTTCCATATATACCTGATTCTGGGTTATGTTGAGCCACACCAAGCACCGGTCCTGATCAAAGAAATAAGACCTATTAGCAAAATCTCAATAAACATGTCATGCATAATTCATATTCTTGGAAGGAAGCATTGCGGAGAAAGAGTGAAACAAATGAAATCTAGAGAACACTGACAGGAAAGGTACATTCTAGAACCAGTTTTCAGTACATTTCTGATATATTCTTCGTTATTATACCGTCTACAAGTCATAAGGTGTTCAAATCGCAATTTGGCTAACACTTGCCGAAATGGCTAACCCAAGTACATTCGCTCAATTCAAGGGGGTAGGGGATTCTTGATTTTTACTACGACCAAGACAAAATGACGTGAATAAAGTCATGCATTAACAATTAACGCTAACGATGATACGCTATTCAGTAAAATTTCATTTACGTTTAACCAAGAATATCTTATTGTGTTCATTTTTTAGAAAACAAGGAAAGAATACATTATTCACTGAACTATTGTCATGGGAGTTCAGGAAACACCTGGACAACCTCAGCCCAGACAGCTTGTATCGTATGACTGACTTGGGACTAGTTATATGTATTAACACACAGAACATCGGTGAATACACGGTGCCATTTAGAAAGTGTTCATATGTGACATACGTTATAACTGGTATTATATTTTCTTTGTAAAGTACAGATTATTGTATATTTTCTGGGTTGAGTCCCATCCGGGATTCGAACCCTCACCCTCAGAGTCAGAGTTCATCAAATCACAAAGTCAGCCATCCAAATCACTCAGCCATCGCGGCTTGGAAGTGGAAGAGTCCCAAATATAACACATGCTACAGAATATCGATTATTATTCAATATTATTAACTGTTTACCAAACAATTACTTTTACGGAAAATTAAGACCAAAAAAACCTTTGGAAAACATTCGTCTGCTAGTTGAACAAACACTATATACACATATCATGGACAGATGATTCGGTGCTACAGTGGGCTGACTAGTGGACATGTCAGAAAGAAGGTCAGGTGAGGTGAAACTGGGTTTAACGGCGTACTTGAGAATATTCGCTCATATGACGACGTGCATGCGTGTGTATGTGTGACTCCTTGTACTAGCCCAGACTGAAGCTGGTTTTATAGTGCTAGCCCACTGAGATACCATGCTGCAGTGAAACATGAATACCCTACTCAGACACATTATACTGACTCCGAGCCGACCAGTCCCTGTTGCACCCTTTAATGCCGAGCGCCAGACAGGGACCAACAAGTACCATATTTTAACTTCTTTTGGTATGTACCCGTGAAGATCCGGGTTAGAATGAACCCTCAGTAACCCATGCTTGTCGTAAAAGGCGACTAACGGGATCGGGTGGTCAGGCTCGCTGACTTGGTTGACACATGTCACTGGTTCCCAATTAAGCAGATCAATGTTCATCACTGGATTGTCTGGTCCAGACTCGATTATTTACAGACCGCCGCCATATAGCTGGAGTATTGCTGAGTGCGGAGTAAAACTAAACTCACTCACTCACTCTTTTGGTATGAACCCGCGACCTTCCGCTCTCCGGGTGGACGCTCTAACCATTGCACCACGGAGGCGGTCAGAAAGAAGGCTTTAACCGAGTCTGTGTACATTGTCCACTAAACTAGTGTCATGCAAAAGCCTGTTTCGTATGAATGATTTGGGACTGCTTTTGTATCTAAATAGACAGAGTATCTATCATTGTTTACGGTTTACCGAACAATCAATCACTTTTATAGGAACTTAACAATTTGGTAACCATCCATTAGTTAGAAGAACCAACAATATATCCAAATATCATGGACAGGTGATTCAATGTTGTGAGAAGAACGCCTGAATAAAGTTGATGTTTTTTGTTTTCTCAATCACCCCTTTTACACCAAGTTTTACAACATCAAATACACCAGGAAAGTGATGTAAGTCACAGGAAAGTATGGAATTAAACGTAAACTGACGGTAGTTTGTACTCACTGGCAGCTTCTGCCCCAAACTTGTCCATCAAGGGAACTGAAAATAAAGAACACCATATTAGATGAAATAACGTCAATATGTTATTGAGTCGATACACGATAAACAGCATTTATTATATTCTCAAGGGTGAAATACTGTAAATATTGGTGAAAATAAAAATGGAACACATGATGTTTATCTCCTAATTTGACAACATTAACAAAATAACCTCTATGGAATTATCTTGTATAACTGGTTCTAGCACATACATGGACAGGGGGACTTAAAATGATCAGTATTATATACAATTGTCATCTCCCAGCAAGAGGAGAATGGGAAAAAAATATAGAATTACCATAGAAAAAATATAATTGAAAATGTTTTTCACCCATTATATGATATATTATCTATACCTGAAATATTAAAATCCAGTCACTCGCTGCTAGTCTTTAAAATGATGTTTGACACAGATCGAATCGTTTTCTCTCGGAAGCATTATTAATGATCCATTCACAGCTATTTCTCCCTTAACGCCCTGGGCGCCACAAGGACATATATGTCCCTTCAACCCTCACTTTGAAGTCCAATAAAAATCAAAATATCCCACGTACACAAATATACTTCACAGTTTCGAATTCTGCGGGAAATGTCCTGTTTCTTGATACCACCCACTATTATTTTAGACAAATAACAAGTGTTGAAAATGACCTTCCAAAATATTCATATTCGATTAAAACATATTCTGATGACAGGATATCAAACTCTAACTATATTTATACGAAAGTTGTTTAAAGATATATAAACCATGCCATGTCTTGATTTGGACAAATCTTACACCCATATTCTAATATATAGTTCCCTATATAAAACAGAAGCTATCTTTTTGCATCTTTCAATGCATTCTTATGAAGAGAAATAGCTACATAATCATGAACAAGGAAAATTCTCATCCTAAACAAAATATTCGGGTGTTGTGAAATATAATTTTTCATTTACGATAAATGATGCCAAACAGGTGCGCATGTTACTCACAATAACATACACAGTCAAGCCGTCTAATTGTTGATATATTCAGGACACTATTTAAATGGAAAGATCAGTCATTTTATGCTTTGTCTAAAGAGTGTTAAATTCTGACATAGAAGCCGAGACCCTTTATACAATTAATGGAAATTATGTGAGATATGTACTAATCAGCATATCAATGTCGTCTTTTTTCCGACGTCGCAAAATGCATAAAACAAGAAATGACGTCAACTAAAATGTTGAATTATTTTCGGCAATTTCATTACATTTGAAGATATGGCTAGTATTCTAATAATAACGATGCAAAATTAGTCAAAATACATCTACATAAACAGGTGAATATGGGAGTTTAAAAACTGCCTTTTATATCGGATAGGGCCATCCAAATCGCTATTGCACGCTTTCACATGTAATACGTTGTCATCTTTTCTTATAAATTGTGAAACTACCAACGCGTATCCGCTCACATTGGGGCAACTTTGAATTGGAATAGTTCGGTTCACCGGAAACAAAAAATAACGAAAATATAGCGTCCGTATTCACAACAAATTCTCTCCATGCCAACTGAGTTACACTGACCTAGTGTTAAGCATAACGGAGTTATGCCCCCTTATCATTATACATGTATGACCTCTCTGTCGTCGTTTGACGTCATAGAAGAAAATCCATTTTTGACATTTATTTCGAGTCATTTTTAATGTTGAGCGTATAAGGTTATGCATAACCACATACACCCAATTCATATACACTTATGTCGTTCAGATATCAGGCTGCATTTTCGTCGCTCACACCTTCCGTGAAGATGCCAAATTGAAAAATGCGTAGCACAGTGCTTTTATCGGTGCGCGATAAAAAGCGGAGAAATTTACTGTTTTTTAACGCATAACACAGTCTTGGACAACATGTAGCTGTGTTTATTTCTCAAAACGCCGAGGTAGTTGCACTTACATTTATACCAAAGGATAGGAAATTTAATATTCTACATTTCTGTGTAATGTATTAGCCGTACGTAGATCTTGCACAACGTTCACTTTTCAAACCGTATGAAAATGTGCGCCTGAAAAAACACTCGGTATCCGGGGGTTAAAGGTAAATAAAGGTCAAGCTGATATTTTAATTTTACGAGGGGGGATGGAAAACTGTATTTTTCATTTTTTATATTACACCGGGGAAATACTTCCACAACGGTGGGGAAAACACATCCATGATTTGTTTTATGATTTCATGTCAGGCGGGGAGAAGGAACCACAGAAATACTTTGTGACGAACTAATACTTCCGAAACCTCAAACCTATGAATCTTGTCCCAACCTTCATACCTATCCTGAGTAATGCTGAGATATACACTCCATATTATCTGAGGATATTAAGCATAATCTGTAGGTGAACAAAAGAAACTTGACATAGCAACAATTTGAACTTTAGGAAAATATTTGACACAAACCAGTCCATGCTGAATCACAACATGGGATAAATGGTTGCCGAAGACAAAACGTTTAATAAAAGAAACTTTGATAAAAAATGTTGAAACTACACTCACGTTTGTAGTGAATCGCTAAGACGCACCAGCACGAACATGAGCTGAAGCCTATGACTGTATGCTTTAAAAAGCTACATCAATGGTACTCCACATGCATTGTCCTAAGCCACTATAGACGACGAAAGAATGCCAAGGTTGACAGAAGCTCAACGACACAACGCCATCGGCCGTTTGCATAGACGGGCATCGTAGCATGAGGTGGCAAGGAACTTCGACGTGTCCAGACAGACCATCTCAAACCTATGGATCCGATACAAAAATACCGGAGGAGTTAATGACAGACCCAGGTCAGGTCGACCTAGAGTTACCACCACCTCCCAGTATCGGAACATCTGGTGAGACATCCTCGTTCACGCACCACCACCGTAATATCCATAAAATCCAAATCCCTGGAATGCGCCGAATCTTCGGCCAGATAGTGTGCAGTCGGCTATGGGTAGCAGGACTTTTTGCGAGAAGACCAGTTCGACGTAATGTCTTGGCACAAGGTCAGCGGGCTGAACGTCTACAATGGTGCAGACAACGAGTGGAATGGCCGCATGCAGGATGCAGGACACTTTTGTTCTCAGATGAATCTCGATTTCTTCTCAGACGTTCACAGGTATACCGACGTTGGAACGAACGTAACGCCGATAACTGTGTGCAGCAGTTCGAAAGATTTGGTGGTGGAAGTGTCATGGTTTGGCAGGTATCCATCATAATGGCCGGACAGCTCTTGTGCACGTGGCTGCTGCATTGAATGGGGTTCGTTATAGAAACGGGATTTTGCACCGTCACGTCATTCCCTTCATCAACGTCAACGGTGGATGTTTCCAGCATGATAACGCTCGACCTCACGTTGCACGTGTTTGCCTGGACTTCCTCCAGCAAAACAACATTCAGGTGTTACCATGGGCTTCTCGGTCACCCGATTTGTCCACATTGAACATCCATAGGGTACTCTTGACCGACGCTTGTGCCAATGTAATCCGCCACGTCAGACACTACAAGAACTGCACTTCAGCAAGAGTATCAAGGCATTCCTCAAGACAGCGACTGGCATCGCCTTTGTTCTATGGCCGTCGCTGCCAAGCAGTGATCGATGTTCATGGTGGTTACCCCAGATACTGACATTTCACTCTCACCAAGTGGCTTTAATAGCCCTCTGTTGTTTTACCAAACACTTTCTGGAAAATCATGTTTTAAAAATTTGTAAAGTGATTATTTTTCTGTAACTGAGCAATGATGTCATGTATGAATCAATTATATGCACTCAGCAAATAAACTCCAAAGCAGCATGTCTAGTTTCTTGTTTGGAAGAGTATATGTTAAATATCAGTTAGGGAAGGCAAAGTCAAGGGAGGACGCAAATAACACTACACCAGTCATATTCCAGCTTCACTGACATACTTACCTTCTTCTTGAAACCTGCAAGTAGAAAAGTTGACAATCACAATGGGTCGATGATTTCTATTTTGGTATGCTTAAATCAGTGAAATGAATTGTCAAGTTTAAATTGTTTCTACTGCTTCCACTATGCAGGAGCTGTATTCTGTATGCTATGTCAGACAGTTTATGATATGTCAGACAGTTTATGTTCACATTGAAGTAAAAACATTAGAGGTCTGTTACTGATAAAGTCTTGGGAAAGATGACACGATGTTGCATAATCGTTTCTTATTATATTACCTGCTCTCAATGTTGGCTTTTCTTCTCCTCTTCCTTTTTCGTCTGCAAAGAAGCACAAATACTAGAACCTTTTCAAATTCAATATTGAACGGTATTTGATTATATTTGAATATTTAAGTATGTTTTTTTCGTTTTCAGTATTTATTAAAGATCAGATATGGAACATATCTCCTTTATTGATGGAACTTGTAGCTATGGTTGTAGTGAAAACCATGAAGAGTTACACCATTGCTGGTTCCCATTATAAACACGTAGTTGTGTCAGCGGTACACTTACACCATGCAGATCTCCACTATGACCAGACAGAGTATGATGAATGAGTAGTTGTGTCAGCGGTACAGGTACACCATGTAGACCACCACAGCCACTATGACCAGACAGAGTATGATGAATGAGTAGTTGTGTCAGTGGTACACTTACACCATGCAGACCACCACAGCCACTATGACCAGACAGATTATGATGAATGAGTAGTTGTGTCAGCTGTACACTTACACCATGCAGACCACCACAGTCACTATGACCAGACAGATTATGAAGAATGAGTAGTTGTATCAGCTGTATACTTACACCATGCAGACCACCACAGCCACTATGACCAGACAGAGTATGATGAATGAGTAGTTGTGTCACCGATACACTTACACCATGCAGACCACCTCAGCCACTATGACCAGACAGAGTACGATGAATGAGTAGTTGTGTCAGTGGTACACTTACACCATGCAGACCACTACAGCCACTATGACCAGACAGAGTAGGATGAATGAGTAGTTGTGTCAGCGTTACACTTACACCATGCAGACCACCACAACCACTATGACCAGACAGAGTAGGATGAATGAGTAGTTGTGTCAGCTGTACACTTACACTATGCAGACCACCACAGTCACTATGACCAGACAGAGTATGAAGAATGAGTAGTTGTATCAGCTGTATACTTACACCATGCAGACCACCACAGCCACTATGACCAGACAGAGTAGGATGAATGAGTAGTTGTGTCAGCTGCACACTTACACCATGAAGCCCACCACAGCCACTATGACCAGACAGAGTATGATGAATGAGTAGTTGTGTCAGTTGTACACTTACACCATGTAGACCACCACAACCACTATGACCAGACAGAGTAGGATGAATGAGTAGTTGTGTCAGCTGTACACTTACACCATGCAGACCACCACAGCCACTATGCCCAGACAGAGTATGATGAATGAGTAGTTCGGTCAGCTGTACACTTACACCATGCAGACCACCACAGCCACTATGACCAGACAGAGTATGATGAATGAGTAGTTGTGTCGGCTGTACACTTACACCATGCAGACCACCAAAGACACTATGACCAGACAGAGTATGATGAATGAGTAGTTGTGTCAGCTATACACTTATACCATGCAGACCACCACAGCCACTATGTCCAGACAGAGTGTGATGAATGAGTAGTTGTGTCAGTGGTACACTTACACCATGCAGACCACCACAGCCACTATGACCAGACAGAGGATGATGAATGAGTAGTTGCGTCACCGATACACTTACACCATGCAGATCACCACAGCCACTATGACCAGACAGAGTATGATGAATGAGTAGTTGTGTCAGCTGTACACTTACACCATGTAGACCACCACAGCCACTATGACCAGAGAGAGTATGACGAATGAGTAGTTGTGTCAGTTGTACACTTACACCATGTAGACAGCCACTATGACCAGACAGAGGATGATGACGACGACGATAGGAACGATAATCACTGCGAGATCTGCTGCAGGCTCGACGGGAGACGCCTCTGTTGTTGGTAACGTTGTATGTGTCGTCACCACTGTTTCTTTAACGCAAGCAAAATCAAGATGAAATTAGTTTGGCGAACAAGGACGAGTTTGTGAATGGTGGGTGGTAGGACATGCTTAATATCCCTTTCTCCAACACCTGCTAACATCACTGGTTTATTCCTGTAATTTCACAGCCATTTTTCCTTTACACCAACAGTTTCTGAGAATAGTTAAGGCTTGTTATTGTTTTGCTAAGGCGTTCTATGTTGAACATACAAAGATACATGGTAAATTCAGATCTATACAACGGACACTACTTTTATTAGAGATGTCTTGTGAATGTGGAAAAGGTTTTTCGTTTTTATTTATGTATGCTTTCTCGATGTCCTTTAGTTGGCACTGATTTTTGACTAATGTTCTGAACTTTTAAAGAGGGATTATGTAACTGTTTCCACATTTCTAAACAGGGCCCTACTAATGTTCGGAATACGTTTTTCCTTATATTTTTCACGTGACACTATCCATGTTACAAATGGTTGTTTTCTCTGAGGTTGCCAAAACTTAATTCCTGGGGATTTGATGACACGTATGGTATAAATAATGTGTCTCCATGATCTCTGTTCTACCAAACGTCATGTATTCTGGCCTGATTTAACATACGCACTACATTCATCTGACGCGTATTTCCAGCTTTATCAAAAGTTATTTCTTGAAATAAATACGTATGTCTATTAGCAATTGCAATATTTGCTGGCTTAAGATACAATATCGTCCAAAGATCTAACATACCTAATGTCACATTGCAGAACTCCCCTTTGTAGTTCCCATGGCAACCTAACGTACAATGTCCATCTCCAATATTGCAGGTTTCGTTTAAACAGCCTCTGCTGCAGGATATATTACACTGGTCGCCATGGTAACCACGAACACATCCCTCAGAACATTCCCCAGTGTACTGATTGCAGTGTGTGAGGTTTTTCTGTTGGGCAGTTGCACAGTTGGAGGGGCAGGGCCTGTCGCAGTTCTCGCCATATACTCCATAGTCGCAGTCCTCAACGCCATGAGCTTGTGATGCTGGAATGGAATTATGCCATATTGAAACAGGAAAAAACAAAAATCGAACATAACCTTAAATTGAAAAAGGTAATATAACACATATGCCCATTGTAATTGATATTCTAAGATGCCTAGCGGTTAGAGCAGTCGAAAAACAACAACATTATCAGACAATTTAGGGATAGTTTTTTGATGACGTAACAATTGAATGACGTTATCCCGTCATTGTGCCATTCTAGTGTGCCTCCTCGTAATCGAACAAGTTCACATTACGTCACAATGTAAGCGACGTCACGATGCATGTCAGTTGTCATCGCCTCGTACGGCATCCTACAGTAAACTACTCCGTTGTATCCCGTTTCTTGGTTTGCAGTTGCTTCACGCAGCTAACATCACTGGTGGAAAGATTACGTTTATGTTTTACAACGGTTAAAATGTTTCAATTCGACTCACGCGTTTTCAGCGACAAGGTAACGTTCGCAATGTTTGCATTCCCACAATGCAATCGTGGAATGTCGCTTGACTACTCAGCTTTATCTGGATGTACTGATCTAAACTTACGTTGGTAGTGGAAATGCGACGTTCATATTGCCTCATATGGTTTACGTTAATGGCAGATGTAATTAAAATAAATCAGAGAAGATATTTAATCCGAACTTAAACCGTCATCAAACTGTTATCATTTTTTTTTCTGGTAACGTTTGTTTTAACGTAGGGGGTCAGACACATCACTAGAACAGCACGCAAGTTAGCCCTGTGCGAGGATTCTTAATTTAGGTCACCGACACCGTCGCTTGTTTTCTGCCTTAAATTAATCGTAATTATGCTTAGAAAGTATGACATTTGGCATCTTAGAAAGGAAATACAGTTCGCTCTACCACCATGTATAGTGTCATAAAGCACACTTTAGCCCTGAACTATTATAACGTTAACCCCCTGGCTGCCACAGGGACATATATGTCCTTCCCCTTCAACCCTCAATTTGAAGTCGAATAAAAAATCAAAATATCCCACGCACACAAATACACTTCACAGTTTCGAATTCTGCGGGAAATTCCCTGTTTCTTGATACCATCCACTATTATTTTAAACAAAGCTAAAGTGCTGAAAATGACCTTACAAAATAGGCTTCATCGAAAATGGCGACATTTTTTACACAGTATGAAATCGCGATTCACAGCGTTATTTGCTGTATGTTTTGAAATGTGAAAATCGGATAATTACTGTGAGTATTGAATTTCAAAAATAACATATTTATGATCACTGATATCAGTTTTACATGAAATCGCTAATTATAATTCTGAAACGTTGCCGATGAATCTAGAATCGGTTGGGATGTTTTCGAAAATGCACTTACACGAACGCCGTAGAGCGCTTTCCGACATATTGGATAGTGTTTACAAAATCACGTTTCGCGAAGGCCGGTATTGAGACGCCTATTACATCACGTATATTTCATATTCAGCTTCGACAAATGCATCACTGAATTCCCCATACATTTAAGAATCAATTTGAAACTGGTCTGTGTCACCAATAATAACTGTCTAGATAAAATGAGACGAAACATATTGGGTGTGAAAACGAACGCTGTGCTTGAAAGACTGCGTTTGTGTGAAATGTAAACAAAGACAAATTCCGATTTTACACTGCGTAGCATTTTCTGAAATTTTTCAACATTCATCCGTCTATTCATTGCTTGCAATGGCTCAATACCTTTAGAATATACATGGAAAGAGTATCGTAGCAAGAAATAGGAAATTATAAATAGATACAATGCAATGATTTGATAATTCATAAGAAATTGTCAAAGTTTCCGTGCAGCGTGACGCCATGACTGACGCCAAATCACGTAGAACGACAACGGTAATTATCTGCATTTCTGTCCTTTTCTCTTACGTATAGTGAAAAAAGATAAAAACACATAACAATACACAGATAGTCAGAATCATTCTGATTACTTACATCTCATATTTATGTACAAACGATCCCTGAATCAGTGGATGGGTCCTCGCAAAATCCTGTGTACTCTTGTCAGCAAAGCCGCCATTTTGTAAGAAATCGGTCAGCGGTAGTGATGTCATACGTCAACATTGTTGTACATATCAGGCAATTTCTGAGGTGAAGGTCGGTTGAACAAGAGTAAACACAATCGCCATATCCTTCCGATTACACTGTCAGTATTGTGATGTATATTTTGCGCATAGTTCGGATACTTTTTCATGAAACAGACTTCAGTATCTACATTTAGCCTTGTTCAATATCATATCATACATGCATGCATATAGGGTTTACGGTGTTTTATTCTTTGAAAGTTTTTGATTGTTTGAATCATATTTACATAAGAAATTGACATATTTATTGCAATACACCATATTTTAAACCTTTACACAAGTGTTAGAAGATCAAACGTAGCCATAACTGCAATTACTTTAGTTCCTATGATGTACAATATTCAATTTATTTGGACTAATATTGCAATTTCATATGAACAGGTTAATGAACGGTGATATGATTCAACCTTATACGCAAAACTGATAATATTAATGACAATTATTTATATATGGTATGAAATGTACATGCACACATATTTAAAGGAATTGTCTTGTTCATTGCATAATTTTGTGTCGTTTTATAGACAAAAGAATGATGCATATAGATCGGCAAGGTGCGCGTTTGTTGGCAACGTTTTTTGATTCTCTATCATTGTTTTCGATAATATTCATATTCGATTAAATAATATTGTGATGACAGGATATCAAACTCTAACTACTTATAGGAAAATTGTTGAAAAATATATATACCATCTCATGTGTTAATTCGGACAAATCTTATATCCATATTCTAATATATAGTTCCATATATCAAAAGCTATCTTTATGCATCTTTCATTGCATACGTATGAAGAGAAATAGCTTCATAATCATAAACAAACAAAATTCTTATCCCAAACAAAATGTTCGGGTGTTGTGAAATATTATTTTTATTTACGTTAAATTGATGCCAAACAGGTGCGCGTGTTGGTCACAATAAGATACGCTGTCAAACTGTCTAATTGTTGATATATTCAGGACACTATCTAAATGGAAAAATCAGTCATTTTATGTTTTGTCTAAAGAGTGTTAAATTCTGACATAGAAGTCTAGACCTTTTCTACAATGAATGGCAATTAAGTGAGATATATACTAATCAGCATACCAATGTCGTCGTTTTCCGACGTCGCAAAATGCATAAAACAAGCGATGACGTCAAGTAAAATGTTGTATTATTTTCAGCAATTTCGTTACATTTGAAGATATGGCTAGTACTCTGGTAATAACGATGCAAAATTAGTCAAATTACATCTACACAAACAGGAGAATATGGGAATCTAAGAACTAACTTATATATCGGATAGGGCCATTCAAATCGCTATTACGTGCTTTCAAATGTAATACGTTGTCATCTTTTCTTATAAATTGTGAAACTATCAAAGCGCATCCGTTCTCATCGGGGAACTTTGAATTGGAATAGTGAGGTTCACCATGAATATAAAATAACGAAAATATAGCGTCCGTATCCACAACACATTTTCTCCAAGTGATCTGAGTTACATTGACCTAGTGTTACGCATAACGGAGTTATGCCCCCTTATCATTATACGTGTATGACCTCTCTTTCGTCGTTTGACGTCATAGAAGAAAATACATTTTTGACATTTATTGCGAGTCATTTTTAATGTTGAGCGTATAACGCTATGCACAAGCACATAAACCCAATTCATATACACTTATGTCGTTCAGATATCAGGCTGTATTTTCTTCGCTCACACTTTCCGTAAAGATGCCCCATTAAAAAATTTGTAGCACAGTGCTTTTATCGGTGCGCGATAAAAAGCGGAGAAATTTACTGTTTTTTAACGCATAACAAAAATTTGGACAACATTTAGCAAGGTTTATTTCACAAACCGCCAAGGAAGTTGCACTTATATTTATACCAACGGATAGGAAATTTAATATTCTACATTTCTGTGTAATTTTATAGCCTTACGTAGATCCAGGACCACGCGAGAGCAATTCTCGCACAACGTTCACTTTTCAAACTGTATGAAAATGTGCGCCTGAAAAAAAATTCGGCAGCCAGGGGGTTAAAGCACTCGGACGCCAGCGTCCTCGTACTCTAACTATAATAGTTCAGGGCGAAAGTGTTTTATTACACTATACATGGTGGTAGAGCGAACTGTATTTCTTAAGCCAGTCTGAGTTTGGAATACTGCCCCACAGAGAAAGTCATTTATCAGCAGATGATACCATTCATATAACTTTCCTACAATTTTGTCATTGAGATCATGGTACTGCTACACTACTCTTGGTTCTAAACCAGTGTACATGAACTCACCAAGCAATAGTAGAACTGTTTGCAGCCACATCACTGAGAGCTCTCTAGCGGGTACTTTACCTGCTAGAACATGAACAATTAACACAAACTTCAAAACCATGGAACTATGAAGTCAACAACATTTAAGCTATGCTATAAATCTGGAAATAAGCGTGTCTTGACCACACAATCCAGTTCAATTCATTTATTCGGTATTTTGTCCATGTGGCCCAAAGTACAATTGATTGTGACGACATAGCCATAGCAGGTGACAGCAAGAACTTATGTACATCTTCATGATAAGGAAAACACGTTTCATGAAAATTGCGACAGAAATGCGACATTTGTAATTGATAATATGCGACATTTGTAATTGATAATATGCGACATTTGTAATTGACAATATGCGACATTTGTAATTGATAATATGCGACATTTGTAATTGATAATATGTAAATATTTTGTTCGGAGATCCGCATACCTTTCACATACAAGTAATACATGGTACTCATCTTCAAGATCTCCTAGATTACAACTTGTGCATTCAGCAATGTTTTCATTAGTAGATTTGTAGCAGCCATAAAATTTCCGAGTCCCGTGCTGGGATTCGAACCACGGACCTTCTGATCCGAAGTCGGACGCCTTGTCCTCATGACCAAAGACGTTAACCCCGTCAGCAAGCTGACAAGGTAAGGATGTTATCTATGGGATGACTCCACGCCCTGCTACATAATTGTTTTGTCTCAGTAGATTTACTTTAAACGAATGCAATGCAATACGTAGTTTACAGAATGCACGAATGAAGGTCTTGTCACTTAGTGCTTTCAGGCTTTCAGTTCAGGCTGTTGTGATAATTTGAAAGTCGAGTAATTCTTTTACAATATGGATATGCAAAGTGGTAATGCCAGTCCTGGGAATATATATCACGGACGCTTTGTGTAAAAGTACTGATAAACATGTGCATGTTTCCTGCATCTTGCGTTATCCAAGCATATGAACAACCTGTTGTGAAAAGTAAGTGACGGACATCTGACACCCATGTATGTTTACCATTTTCATCAAGTTTTTAGGCATAAATAACGCTGGTGAGGATGGTGGTGTGTGATTCCATTCTTAATAATTTTAACCAAACCTTTATGAGACGTATTTGAGTAGACACACGTGCACCGAGGATCTACTACATTCTTGCCAACATTTAGAAATAATTTGAAGTATGTAGTGTGTACCTTTTCTATGAATTCATAATACCTAGCCCTAGATTTCTGAACCATATAGTAATACAGGCATGTTTTACTATAATTGTTTTACAAGGAACAGTGAAGGAAATATGCTTATGCTTACGAAATTATCTATACATGGAGAAAATGACTTTACTAGCTTTGAGGGAGATAGATTGCCATGCTTTTGACCACTTCAGTGATGTGGAAAACAGAACACCAAGGTAGCTATAATAGGTTACAGTTTTAACATGTGGGTTCCAATGTGCCACTGTTTCTTTCTGCACACAATTCCACCGTTTCGGAATAAAAACATTCGTTTTCTTCATATTGATTTCAAGTCCTCGTTTCTGACAGTATGCATGGACCACATCAAGCTGTTTTGCAAAACAACCACGGTGCAGACACACGCTGAAACATCATCAGCGAACAGTAATAAGACAATGTCTTCCATGTGCTGAGAAACAAAAATACCACTTTCACAATTTGAATACATACTGAACTCAGGACAGAGCCCTGTCTGACGCCACAGGAAGATGTGAATGAAGACGTTACACCCCACCCCACCCCACGCCCAACCCTCACCTTTCACACACGCCTTAAAAAGATTTATAAATGTTTAAGTTTAGTGAATAGTTTATATCGATATCACTTGTAAAACAGCATATCCAAGAGTTCTTGCCTATCAATAAAGTCAAAGGCTTTCCTGAAACCAATGAACGCGCAGTAGAAAAGACATTTAGCTTTGACATGTACTTTGTAGCTAGGGCTTGGAGAGTAAAGACATGGTCTATCGTCGAGTTATTAGGTCGGAATCCTGCTTCAGATTCTGATAACAGATTATTGAGCTGATCCAGATTCGGAGACGATTCTCCGAGAATATATGTAAAAATCTTGCCTTGCACATTGAGTAGGGTGATGCTTCGGTAGTCATTTGATCGCTCACAGAACCAGATGTGTACAGCGGGATTATCACGCCAGTGTTCCAGGTCTCTGGAAAATACCACTGTCCAACACTGTATTGAACAGTCTGTTTACATATTGAATGAATAAGTCCATGATATATTGAGAATTGATCTACGCAATTTCTTAGACCAATTCAAACCCAGGTTTCGGGGATGCCAACCCTAACAATGAAGAGGTTGCCTCTTGTTTAGTTGTATAAATGCTGTACAAAACCGAGCATGTAGATTCTTTCTCTGAGTTCGCAGTAAGTCACCAAACGTACCAGCTCGAAGAGATATGGGCTGGACTTTGTCTTTACACCAGACAAAAAAGCTGGAAATGTTACCACTATCGTATCGACTACAAAACTGTGACACTAATCGAGTGAGTAGTAAAAGCAATCTGTGTGATTTCCGTAAATCATGGACAAGGTTTTACACTATCCATCCGTGGTAATTGCCTACTTGGGATTCATTTAATTTAACACCTCTCTACCAACAGCCATTCAACTCCTGCGTCGAATGGTCAACAACACATGCGTTTATTATGTTTATTATACTGCTAAGGTAAACACATTACATGACAGCTCTCTCTCTCTCTCTCTCTCTCTCTCTCTCTCTCTCTCTGTCTGGCTGTCTGTCTGTCTGCCTGCCTGCCTGCCTGCATGTCTGTCTGTCTGTCTGTCTGTCTCTCTCTGTGTCTGCCTGCCTGCATGTCTGTCTGTCTGTCTGTCTGTCTGTCTCTCTCACATTAATACTATGTTCAATAGATAGCAACACAGAACAGGCTGTATACCTTCTCAGAACACCCATGCAGCCTTAGTTTCACAAGAACTAAAACAAACCTATTGATGAACTGTAATAAGTATTACTAATGAACCATTATACGATGACGACATATTAAAGTCAAATCAAATACCTTATCAGAGCACCTGTTCGACACCTGTCCACACACATCTAACCCGCTATCGTCACGTACTTCTTTGTACTAAATATAGCCATGGCAAGCCACAATGACTGCGGTAACACAATGCAATAAACAGGATAGTTCTTTATTACATTTCCCGTTACACTTGAAACGTTGGAGCGAAAGGCGTTCGACAGCAGGGCAATGCTCGGGACATTTCCTCTGCAGAAGAAATCTCTGACAGTATTATGTGAGTCGACACACTTTAACATTCACACAAGTAAACTGAACAAGGAGCATCAGTATATTTGCACCATTATCTGACAATCCTTTACTGATATGAAGGGTGGCTGAATAATTCTGAGCTTAACTCTACAGTATAAAGTCATTGCATGCATTCGCTACAACGAGACCTCAGTAACCCATGGCTGGCTTAAGTGTAGTCGTAGGGGAGGACAGGGCATGCAATCCTTTACAACATGAGACCTCAGCAACCCATGGCTGGCTTAAGGCGTAATCGTAGGGTGAGGGACAACGCATGCATTCGCTTACAACGATACCCTCAGTAACCCACGGCTGGCTTAAGTGTAATGGTAGGGGAGGACAGGGCATGCAATCGCTACAACGAGACCTCAGTAACCCATGCCTGGCTTAAGTGTAATCGTAGGGGGAGGACAGGGCATGCAATCGCTACAACGAGACCTCAGTAACCCATGCCTGGCTTAAGTGTAATGGTAGGGGGAGGACAGGGCATGCAACCGCTACAACGAGACCTCAGTAACCCATGGCTGGCTTAAGTGTAATCATAGGGGGAGGACAGGTTTCCTCACTTGGTTTGTGCGGGTCATCGTGTCCCGACTCTGTAGATCGATGCTCATGATGTCACTCACTTGGGTGTCTGTGCTGTTGGCTTTGCCTGTGCCTGTGTCTGAGTTTATGTGTCTGTCTGTGTTTGTGCCTGTGTCTGTGATGCATTATAGCTTCATGTCTCTCTCTCTGCCTGTGCCTGTGTTTGAGTTTCTGCATGTGCCTGTGTCTGTGAGTGTTTTTGTCTGTGCCTGTGTCTGTCTGTCTCTCTGCTTATATTTGTGCCTTTGTCTGTGTCTCCGCCTGCGTCTGTGCCCGTGCCTGTGCCCTTTGACTGTGTCAGTGCCTTTGCCCGCGGGTGTGTCTGTGTCCGTGAATGTGTCTGTGCTTTGTGTTTGTTCCTATATCTGTGTCTGTTTCTGTGCCTGTGTTTGCCTTTGTCTGTGCTTGTGCCGATGTATATGTATGTGCCTGTGTTTGTTCCTATATCTGTGTCTGTTTCCGTGCCTGTGTGTGCCTTTGTCTGTGTTTGTGCGGATGTATATGTCTGTGCTTGTGTTTGTGTGTATGCCTTTGTCTGTTTTTCTGCCTGTGTCTGTCTTTGTGGCTGTGTTTATGACTGTCTTTGTGTTTATGACTGTCTTTATGTTTATGACTGTGTTTGTGTCTGTGCCTGTGGTTGTGACTGTGCCTGTGTTTGTTCCTATATCTGTGTCTGCTTTTCTGCCTGTGTCTGTCTTTGTGCCTGTGTTTGTGACTGTGTTTGTGACTGTGCCTGTGCCTCAGTTTGTGACTGTGTTTGTGTCTGTGTCTGTGTTTGTGACTGTGTCTGTGTTTGTGTCGGTATTTCTGTCTGTACCTGTGTCTTGTGCCTGTTTCTGTACCGTGTATTTGTGCTTTGGCTTTACCTGTATCTGTGTCCGTGCCTGTATTTATGCTCTGTGCCAGTGCCCCAGTTTGTGACTGTGTCTGTGTTTTTTTATTTTGACGTGTTAGATCTGTAATTCCATACACAGTGTCTTATGTCATAGATCTTTTCTTCTACAGTGTCTGATGTGATCGATCTGACCATAATGGCCCTAGTTTGACGTCATATGAGGAGACAGCAACAACGTGTACTACTTCCATGGCCAGATGGCTGTATGTCAGCCTTAATGCCACAAACTCAATACAATGTTCATCTCAAACTGAACGTTTCTCATTAC